AAGCAGATTGGAAAGGAAACAAAAGAGGAAAGGCTGATGGAGAGGCGAGAGTGAAAAAGGAAATTAAAGATGACGTGAACCTTGTGGATGCCGGAAAAATCTCCGTCAATCAAATCTGGTACGGCAAATTCAAGCCCTCCCAGCGCGCCATCGTCTCCGATTTTGGCGCTTCCCTCTCTTCCCCTGCATCCTCCAAGCAGCAGCAGCAGCCTTCAGTCGGGAGCTGGTGGAAATCCACGGAGAAATACTACCACCTCATCAAATCCTCCAACAAACACTCTCTCTCGCTGTCTTTGAGCAACCAGATCCTCGACGAGGGTTACTCCATGGGGAAATCCCTTTCCTCCAAGCAAATCGTTCAATTGGCGTCGAAGGGTGCCCAATCCAACGCCGTCAACGTCGTCCTGACCTCCTCCGACGTCGCCGTGGAAGGGTTCTGCTCTAGCAAGTGCGGTACCCACGGATCTTCTTTGAGCACTGCCGCTGCTCGCAAAATCAATGGCGGTAAAAAGGTGTCGAAGTTTGCCGTGGAAGGCTCTCCGCTGCATTTGAAGTCGGAGAGAATGGAGGCGGCGGCTCGTCGGGGAAGAAGGAGGAAGAAGAAGGAAGATAGGGTTTGTTTGGGTTTGATCGAAAAGGAAAGAAGGTGAAGGGATAAGGTGGGGATGGGTGGGCCAAAAGTTTTAATTTTTGTTTTTTTTTTAAATTATTCAATTTTGTGAATGAAATAAAAAGAAAAATGAAATTATAATTTTTTTATGCTGACATGGCAGTGACCTGGACAGTTGACTAACGGTCAACGGTGTTGACCGTCCAAACAAACGGTCAAACCACGCTCCAGGCCAATTTTGTCTATATGCTGCATAGTTCGGACCAGGATGTTAATTTCTCAAACCACTGGCCAAAGTTGATTACATGGTCATAGTTCAGGCCATAACAAGGTATTAACCCTAAAAACAAAATCCTATAGCACCAATACTATATAGCATTGTAAAATTTCTCTATGGGAAGGAAGTCCGTATAATATTATCATCTATAAATACATGAATTTTATATATATTTTGTGTCCCTAATTACAAGTCCAAGTTGTCAAATAAAGACAACCCTTACAGCAACCACCACCGCTCCTTCAATATCCTCTCCGGCTGCTGTTTTGGGCATTTGAATCCTCTTCTTCCCTTTGGCTGACATTTCTGGCTCTATGTAACGCTGCTGCTGGTCTTGTGGACGATGGCCGCCTTTGTTGCAGGCAATTGTGCAGGTCATCGACGTCCACAGCCTCTTCTTCTGTGCATATTCTGGTTTACTTGAAGGAGGAGGAGGAGAGCTGTCGCGTGCAGGCTGCCGGAGTTGACCACCGTTCTCATCATCATTCGCCGGTACTGAGCGCGTGGCAGCAGCTGCGGCTTCTCCCGGCAGCTCCGACGACGTCCTCTGATCAGAATCAGACCCGGAGTTATCTGCATGCATCACAACGTGCATTTTCCCGTCATGGTAATAAATCCCTGTTCATGGTATTAATATTTAGAGCACATATTATCCTATAAACAAAATTCTCAATTGAAATAAATCCCTGTTCATGGTATAATACGCCATCACCGACCAATCGATTCTCTATAAACAGAATCATCAGTACTGACTTCTTCTTAGCATCGAACTTACCCATTTGGGACGAGTTTAGTGTGCTAAATCTCTATAGAAGTTAGCACTGTGCTAAACAATCTAATCACCGTTCACTAGTTTTAACTTAAATAGGATGGTGGAGAGTAATGAGGGGCTTATTCGGTATATGATAAAATTAATATAACTACCTGTTGTGGTCAGTATATCACTAAGCATTACTTCGTGTTGTTCCCCGACATTGAACTAATTTAATATTTTGTCAAAGAAAAAAACTAATTTATATTGACGCTGGTTATAATGTTCCATACACAGAATGCATTTCTCTAAAAATGATATTCTACACCATAATTTTCATTAGCTAAATGCTTATGTATTTGATACGAAGATAGTTGTGAGATTTACATAATTTAAATAGAATTGCTAAATTTTATAGGAAAATGGTTATGTCAAAAAAGTATTCAGTATTTCCACCAGTGTATCGACTCATGAAGTTCTTTATTGCTTGTTTTTTTTTTTTTTTTGCCAGAGACATTCCGAGAGGAATAGCAAGGTACGAGAATATACAAGACCGAAAGGTCAGGACAAAGAAAAGAGTGCCACTGTAAGTATTGAAATAACATTTATGCAATGAATTTAGTGAAGCATATACTACCGAATTGGATAAGTGATGAAATTATGAACAAATTTTTTTTTTTGGTAGGATACATTAAGAGCGACATCGCTGATAGTTTGAATGAGAGAGCGAGCGAGCAAGAGGAAGGGAGGCGAAAAATCTATTGAAATAAGAGCATACTATATAGTATAAAATGCGTACCATGATGGTATATATGAACATACCAAGACTATGAGATGGTTGCATACATGATGGTAGGAGTATACTAAATGTCATTTACGACTTTCAACATTGTGTACCACAAGATATACCACCTCGTACCAGGGTGGTATTGTGTGGTATTTTTTTTAGTCCTGTATTTTGTTTCTTTCTTTGCAAAAATTTCAAAAACGACTTAAAAATGTTTTAAAAAAAGATACCATATGGTATGCAGTTGGTAACGAGAGGCCAAAAAAAATTCTAAAAAAATATTGAAAATGGATCTCATTTTGTAAAGCACAACGAACTCGTTCTATCTGTGCAAAAAAAATTGAAATTCGAGTTAAAACGAAGAATTATGAACCGATTAAGAAAACAATGGAAAATAAAAATGTGTTTAATCAGTAAAATACGGTCAGCATGATGCTATCTAATAATCTCATTCCTACCGTTTTGGAAGGGCCGAATCATCGACTGCCTGATCAGTAGTTCCCTACTCGCCCTATCCCGTTCCTGCACCTTCCGCAGCATGTTCTTGGCTATGTTCTCCACCATTTCCGCCTCCGATCTAAACCATACGTAACAAACAAACAAACCGTGTGAAAACTTGTATTCAAACTTGTTAGGGAATAGGAATTACTTAAGATTACTATTATAATATACCTATGGGGAATTCTACTGTACCGCCACTGTACCCGTGCCGTCTACATTCAACCGGTTACAGTAGGTTTTCTTCATTCCTCGGCTTTCTTTGTTTCTTTATAGCCGATTACTATTCTATGGAATTATGGAAATAATCAAAAGCCATAATCATTTCCTCGTGATTTCAATTATTCTGCCAATGTTAGTTTGTTTTAATTAGTTTATTTATGTTGCTTCAAATAATTATATCGGTGAGCGACTTAGTTTTTTACACATTGGGATGAATAACGAAGAGTCATCTAATAAGTCATAACTCACTTAATACGTGTCTAAATGAATATGATGGTGCGTATGGGTTATTGACTCGCAAAATTACTTAATATATTGTGTCATAATTTATATTCTATAAAAACACACCCCCTCTTTTAAAATGTCAATCGCTATTTATTCACCTAATTATTTTTTCATAAAATTTTATTAACTTACAACATAAATTATACGTTGATTATTTAAAATATATCATAAGTATAAAAAAAATCTTGTTCGCAAATGAGATTATTGATATTCGAATATGAAATAAACTATGCTTAATGGTTATTATTTTCTTGAATTTTTAGTTTTAATATTAAATTATCTTGTTGTAATCTCTTAGGACTCATAATAATCTTTTACTATTTGAAATTTCTATTAACATACCAAAACCATCAAATCAATCTACAATCATCAGCAGCCAACCCATTCATAATATATATACTATATTTGAGAACAAATTATTTATAATTTACATTTATATTCAAATAAAATATAACATTCGAAATTCATTTTTAAATACAACATTTGACATCAACATCCAAACATTTGTACTTGAATCCAATAAATAACATCAATATTTAACATTTAAATTCATCAAATCCCAAGTTAGTTTTTTTCTTAATTAAATTTATTAAAAGACATCATTTTTTAAAGACCGAAAAATCAATAATATTGTTCATATTGTTTATATTCTTGTCGATTTCTTGATCGACACTGGTAATACCAGGTTCGATCGCTTCATTCCACCGGTGTGACAACTAGCGTGACAACCAATAAACAAATTACAATTGACATAATAAAAGAAGGGTGTTTTATTATATAATATAAAAAAAACTATTGACCATTCCATTACTATATCCCCTACATGGCTACATGTAAACACTAAGTCACTCACCTCTCTAAATATTTGAAGTGACATAAAGAAACTAATTAAAACGAATTAACAATGGGGGAGTAATTGAAACCACGACAATATGTTGTATTATTTTCATAGAATATTAACCGGCTATAAACAAACAAAGAAAGCCGAAGAGTGAATAAAAAACTGGTTGATTGTGTATGCCACGGGTACAGTGGCGGTACCGTAGAATTCTCGTGTATATATATATATACATATATGGCAAATACAATATATTATCCATAACTATTAAGCAGCGGGGAATTATAGCCATAATTATCGAAATACAAATTATTAGCCAATCGTTAAGTTTTCGTTAACACTTCTGTTAGTAATGATGACTAAACTTTTACGATGGTGAGCTGACTACCACGTGACAGTCATCATATCATATTTTTTACGATGCTGACATGGCCTTCTACGTTAAAAATTTGAAAACAGTAACGGGCTGTTAGCCAAATTTTGATCCGCAACAATATTTATGGCTAATAATTTGTATTTCGATAGTTGTGGCTATAATTCCCCGCTGCTTAATAGTTATGGATAATATAGTGAATTTACCCTATTATATATATATATATTGTTGAGATTGGCCGGAATTTATTCATGTAAATTTAACAGTCAGATTATCTGGAACATATCAGTCGTCACCATATATATATATATATATACAATAATATATACCGTCTCGGTAAAAAATGAATGAATTAGTTATTACCTGTCAGTGGAGAGAACCCAGCCGGAAATCTGAGCAATGGAAGTGAGAGCGTGGCTCCATCCCTCCACCCTCTCGTAGCTATACCTCCTCTTGTGCCGATCGAAGTCGGCCTTGTAACACGACGCCGACGACCGGTGATCGGCGACGTCGTCGGGGGACAGGTTGTAGAAGACTGGGAAAGGGCGATGCCCTCTCTCCTTCATGTTCAGCATGATCTTGACCAGCTCGTCCAGGCAGTACTCCGACGAGGCGTAGCCCCTGGAGAGGACGACGACGGAGAGCCGGGACTCCTCGATGGCCCGTGGGATCGCCTCCGTGACGTTGACACCGCGCGGGAGGTCGCGGTCGTCGCGGAATGCCTTGATCCCTCGCCGGACGAGGGCGTGGTAGAGGTGGTCGGAGAAGGTGTGGCGGACGTCGGGCCCCCGGAAGTTGAGGAAGACGTCGGGGCGCCAGGGGGGCCGGTGGTGGTAATTTGGTTGCTGGGTAATGCTGCCGGAATGCCCGAACCGGCCGTGGGGCCCGGCCCCGCAGAGGGCGAGGGAATGGAGGAGGAGGAGGAAGAGCGCCGCCGTGGCAACTGAAGTTGTTTTTGTTGAGAGAGCCATCTTGTCTTGAGATATAAAACGGAAAGGATTCTTCGTCTTTTTTTTTTTTTTTTTCCTTGCAAAGGATAATGCACCAAGCTGCTAGAGAGAGGCAAAGGGAGGGCTTCATTTATAGCCAATATAAAAAATAAAATTAATTAAGTTCGGCCGCAGTACCCAACCAAATTACCACGTGATTGATTGATTGGCAAGAGCTAGAGGTGATTGGGAGATGGTCTGAGTGAAGGTTGGGGAGGTGTTTCAATATCATGTTGAGAAAGGCCACATTCCATTATGTGTCACAAAGAGATTGGTCAATTTTGCTCGCTTTGTGAGTTCTGAACGTATCTCCTCTATACCAAGTAAAATGAGGCCATGAGAACAAAGATCCAATATGGATGTTGGGGACTACTGCTTGACCGTAACTTGTGAGGGTTTTCTATAATTTCAACATGCTTCAATGTGGGCCCATTTTGTTCATTAAAATATATGGGCCCATTTGTCATCAAGGCCTTTGGCGGCAAACGAACCAAGTTGACTCAATTTTGGCTCGACTCAACTTGAACATGTCTCATTGATGAGCTTACGAGGTTGATCTACTCGAGTTTGGATCGAGCTCACCAGCCTCACCTCATTTATGATTTTGAATGATTGAACCTCTAAAATAATTTGTTAATTAGATATCTTAAAACTTTTTCATGACTAATTGATCTCATGATTATATATTATGTTAGCATCATATTTAGTGCAATTACTCGTTACTGGAGATGCACCCTCTCGAGATAGGGTTCCTAGTACAAACATCAAACTGAAGCTTGGAACATTGAAATGTGGCTTTACAATCGGGATACGTTGTTTTCCTCATAAAAAAATAGGCTTCATGGATTTGGAAATGAATATTCCACATCGTTTGGTATGTCATATTCAAATCTTAAGAAAAGAATTACCGCAAAGAATTCATTTTCAAACGAATTCTTGTGTTTGGTATGTCATATTCAAATATTAAGAAATAAAAAGAATTGAATTTCCAAACTATGTTTGCCGTACATTTGTAATTGAATTAAATTAAAAGTATTCAACTACGCACGTATTAATTTCCGGTAGAAACAATATTCATTGAAAATTCATCTTCTAAAAATGCTTTTGGTCCCCTACGTAGAATATCAAAAGTATTCTTGTGTGTTTCTATTTGTGGTGTCTATTTGGTCCCCAGCACGTAGTTGAATACCAAAAGTATTCAACTACGTGCTGGGGACCAATCTCTTTGTGACACATAATGGAATGTGGAAATATCATGTTGAGAAAGGCCACATTCCATTATGTGTCACAAAGAGATTGGTCAAAAGTATTCAACTACGTGCTGGGGACCAAATAGACACCACAAATAGAAACACACAAGAATACTTTTGATATTCTACGTAGGGGACCAAAAGCATTTTTAGAAGATGAATTTTCAATGAATATTGTTTCTACCGGAAATTAATACGTGCGTAGTTGAATACTTTTAATTTAATTCAATTACAAATGTACGGCAAACATAGTTTGGAAATTCAATTCTTTTTATTTCTTAATATTTGAATATGACATACCAAACACAAGAATTCGTTTGAAAATGAATTCTTTGCGGTAATTCTTTTCTTAAGATTTGAATATGACATACCAAACGATGTGGAATATTCATTTCCAAATCCATGAAGCCTATTTTTTTATGAGGAAAACAACGTATCCCGATTGTAAAGCCACATTTCAATGTTCCAAGCTTCAGTTTGATGTTTGTACTAGGAACCCTATCTCGAGAGGGTGCATCTCCAGTAACGAGTAATTGCACTGAACAAACAATTAGTCATCGGGCGAATGCATAAGCAATGCTTGGTCATGTACAGGTAAGTGTTTTTAGTTCTGTAAACCACATATCAAGTTCATCACGTTCCGATGCTCGTTCCTTCGGAGTAACGTAACGAGTCATGCTATGCACCATGCTGACTCGAATGAGAAAAGTGGTTTTAGTTATGTAAACCACATATCAAGTTCATCACGTTCCGATGCTCGTTCGTTCGGAGTAACGAGTCATGCTATGCACCATGCTGACTCGAATGGTTTCTCGGAGATGATGAAAGCTTCTTTTGCAATTCAAGGTTGGACATCCGCTCGGCCTCCAGAGCTCGCTCGAGCTGTCAAAACATTCACAAGTTGCAATTGGTTTAGGGGACCAATTTCCTTAATTGGGAAGCACTACAGTCTTTGAAGTAAAACCCTCTGAAATGGATGAACTTGTTAAGGGCTTACCTTGGCAGCACGAGTACTCCATTCCCCTAATATAGCTCTCAGGCGCTCGTTCTCTTCCACATACTGTTTTTTAGTAATATGGGTATGAAATCAGAATGAAGGTGAGCATTAAGTGAACTAAGATACATATATTCTACTTTATTTGCCAGGGAAATAAATCCTTGCCTGATTATTTGCAGCTCGTACCCTCTGGAATTCAGACTCCCTGTCAGCTATCACAGACCGAGCAAGCCTTAGCTCAGACTGTAATTGATTCATCTGGGGGAACAATAGTTTAGTTTTCCGGAGTTAGCAAACTGACAGATAGACTAACCACTAAACTAGCAGATCACTTGTGATATTGATGATTCATTACCTCGGCAGTAAGCGTCCTTAACTCCTGTTCACGAGCACCCAACAAATGCGCAACATCAACCTGGAAAGCACCCCCTATTAACTGCCATCTTAAAAATGGATACATTCATTCAAAGGAAATCAGCAAGGAATCCGGATGGTTATTACCTGAGGTGTGCTGCCATCGCTAGATCGTTCGTATTTGCTTAAACATTCTTGCAAGCGTAGAACCTGAATCATCATAGTTTTTTAATGGTAGTGTCTGGGTATGGTGAGGAATTTAAACTACCAACTGACCATATCACACTAATTACAGCAGCCCACATGGAGGCCCATAACTATAGGTGCAAAAGAAAATCAACCAACCATTTCAGGCTTTCGGGAAATACACACCTCTTCACTCAAAAAATGGAGATTCTCACGTTGATATTGCAACAGAGCCATTTGCTGATCGGAAAGTCTACCACCTTCTTGGTACCTGTTAAAGGAAGTGATTACCAACTCTGACTATAAGGAATTTCTGCTGGATCACAAGAAAGGATCCTTGTATTGAAGAAATTGTAATCAAGTTGGTCCCACAACTATTATGTATGCATCGGCTGAACAACTAGGCACCTAAATAGACCACATTCCAGAATTAATGCATATCTAAAGCAACTGAGCGACTACCTCAAACCTTCTAAAGGGCTTGATTGTTGAAGTGGAGAATACAACGACTTCAAAATGTCGGGCTGAGAGTTTATCGAATTGTACTGATGTAAATAGCCTGCAAGCTCCAACCATATATGAAGAATATCAAGGAAAGAGTTTGTGTAGGACCAAACTCATTAGATTCTGATTCTATTAATGACAAGTACAAAGATTCAAGAAACGCTATTAGTAGTGTTATCAACTAATAGCAAATGGCTTGCTGTTATCCCTGGGTCAACCTCACTCACTTTACCTCCTGACAACTTGTATTTCAATAAAAACAAGTGTTGCTGCTTAAGATTCACATAACCAAAGGAAAGGCTACCCGCAAAGGATATCAATATAAAGCTCAACAGTGCCTCATACTAGAATATGGTAGGGGGGAAGAGCAAATGAACTTTATGATGTCAGAAAATAGTCAAGGAAACTGTCCCACAGGCTCAATTAAGGGACATAGAGAGGTAAGGGTTGAGCAAAAGAATCAGCCGCAGTAACTCACCAATATAAACACTCATAAAGGATGCAGCACATACTGCTTCAGCCAACATGATAATTCTGCAATGAAGGCATGATGTTCTCAGTAAGTTGCTCAATATTTCTACATGAGAATGAAAAACCCTCCTAGTCACGTAAGTAGGGGAAAACATGTCCTAGTGGATTAAGTAATATACTCAAAATTGAAGATAGATAAGGCATACCTCAGTAAAGCAGGGATAGTAAGAAATTTAATTTGAGGATCCCATACAATGATCAGCACCATCAATCCAGTTCCTAAAATTATTAAAACTCATCAGACGAGCAACTTTGTGCAAATTGTACATTTGACCATAACATTTGTAGCAGCAGAAGGGAACCAGAATTAAGGGGATGAGAACCAGAATTAAGGCATTACTATTGATCTAACACTTCCCACATCCCATTTTCTATAAGGGGGAAAATCCGAAAGATGAAGGTAAGAGATTTACACCAGATTAGAACGTTGTAGTTGCAATTATGTCTTCACATTCAACCCTGGGTAGGCTAAGTAACAAATTAAATATTTTGTACTTACCATAAGCAGTGATAGCAAATGGCAGGCGGACAATATGTTTCAATTTCTGGCTGAAACTATAGTAACCCTACAAAACAAATGAGCAAACCATGATTCTAAAGCCCCACATCAATCACTCCGAAACATGTTTAAACTTAACTGCTGCCAAAATCTCAACTTCCATAACAGGATGTCCCACTTCCCCAGTTCCCAACCTTATTTTTGACGTGGTTTCCAGTTTGCTAATGCACTAAACTAAAAGTTCCCCAAGTATTCATTATTTAGGTTCCAGGGCACACTTCCATTCTGGTGTACTGTTCATCAACAGCATAACCAGTATAAAAGACATAGACGCAGAACCATTGAGCTATATTTTGGCCGAAGTGGTGAAGGGGAATGTGTAAAGTGTACCTGAAGCCGTATTTTCTGGACTTGCGAAACAAAATATTGCTGGAAGATACCTGGGAGAGTAAGAAATCAGTTTGTCAAGTTAAAGATAGAAGCATTCCCTCGTTAAATTGAAGAAAGGAAAACCACCAGTTCCAAGACTGCTTTAAGGCCACATTGTCATAAATCAAGGAACTGCATCAAGCTTAGCAATCAGATGGGTGCAATCGACAAATTAAACAGGGTGGTTGATTAATCACATAAAACCATCATCAGAAAAGAAAAAAAATTAAAACTTCCAGATAAGGAAAGAAGCGAAAAGTGAGCAAGCTAAGGGAAGCTAGACCTGTGAGGACGAGGAGAACAACATCACAACTGCAAAGCAATGAAGGAACCCAATTCTTGATAGAGTAGAAGACGTAGGGAGCAGCAGCGCCAAGAACAGCATAACCTGCCTAAACCCAAAAAAACAGCGACAATCAATGATGGCGGAGCCTCGGGTTTCCTTCCCGCTAACTAGAAAAATCAACCAAAACCCACCAAAAGAAGAGAGGAAAATTGAGAGATAAGATCGCGGTTGAACTTGCCAGTAGAAGGGAGTAGAGAATTGCGCCGACGAGACTTCTGGATTTGCGATGGCCGAACAAAGGAGCTTCGTGGAGTATGTCTAGGAACCTACACAGACAATAATTCCATGAGAGAAGTTGAAGAGAAGAGTGGGGTATTAGAGAGAAGACGGAATTGAGGAGGACTGACAGCGCGTCGTCTTCACGAGAAGTGGAAGCCGGATGACCGTGCCTCTCAGTAGCCATCTTCTTCTTCCTCCTCCTCCAGATTGATCGCTTGTTTAGATTAGATCATGAATTGGGTTTTTTTGAAGTTTGGAACTTGAAAGTGGGTGATTGCTTTTGAATGAGATGTGATGATGCTGGATGCAGCAGAGATGGGTCGGGTTACAGATTCAGAGGCCGGAGAAAGAGAATCTGTTATCGGCGGAATCGTCCGTTTTTAGTCTTTAGACCTTCCGATTGCGTGGTCGTCTGGTCTGGTTTGTGGAATCTGTTCCGAAATTTCACGGTTTGGGTTAAACCGACTTCTTCAGAGGCTACAATTTTTTTTTTAATTTAAGAATTTATTTTCAAATCTATACCACCATTTCCCAGTCAGGGCTAAACTAGATCTGATGTCAATACAACAAAATAATACCCGGCTATTCCGAAATTGTTATTATTTTCTGACGGATTTTTCTCGAACCCGACAAACAGTATGATGTTTGATTAGTGAAAATCTAATTGTTACTATTTGGTATTTTGAGTAGGGTTGTTAATGAGTCGATTCGAACTTTGTCTTATTTAGGTTTGGCTCGTTAATAAATGAGTCGATCTCGAGCTTCGCTCATTTATAAATGAGCTGAGTCGATTCGATCCCGAGCCAGATCATTTTATAAAACCTACTTGACTCATCATTAAGATCGAGAGTTCAGCTCGAGCTCAACTCTATGATAATTTATAAATTAAGCACTAATATTTATATGTCATATATGATACATGTGATTAAACTGGTCTAATGTCATATATGAGACATATTTGTTCACATACTCTAAATCTTAAACATGTGAGATATACAATTTAATTAACCAATGGAATATCAACAAGCCAACTCATAAGGTATATATCGATTTTCTCGTAAGCCGGAAGTCGTCGTGTTGGCTCACTAATTGCAATGTTGAGACAACTCGTAAGCTCAAAGCAAGAGAGTTCATGAGTTGAGCATAACAAGCCACTTAGTCGAGCTGACTCACGAGCTGAATAAGGCTTAACTCAAACTCGATTCGTTAATAGACGAGTCGAGTTTTTCTCAAATAGAATGAACTTTTATTAAGGTGAATGTCGAGCCGCTCCCGAACAGCTCGGCTCACTAGTAGCTCTAATTTTTTTTTTTTTTTGTGAGAAAACGGAGCGCTTAAAGGGCACCCCAACCTTTATACAGTAGCTCTAATTTTAAGTATCTACACCGAATTCTTATTCAACTAAACATGTATTACACGAATATATCAAGTATAATAATAATTTCTTAGACAAGAATCTTGCTCATTTTCTTTCACTATAAACAATGTCTTAAAACAACCTAAAAGTGAAATTCACTTTATATAAGAAGTTTATTATATAATTATCCGGAATGAGATGGCTGAGATTTCCCAAACTGCACACTTATAGTTATATATTTGGCATGTCATTTTACGTCCCTGTTCGGAATGGTATATAGGGAAACCACACTCAAGTCGTTGCCAACCCTAGATGTCAAATGATACGTATATTACATGACTCAAATGTAAAGCACTTGTCACACAAAAGCTATAATCGATATATTACAAGAAATACAAAAGGGGGCATAACGAGAATACCACCACAAAAATGGTTACATCTTCCTCAAGTTGTCTAACCTAGCCTGCAGATCAATATCTATCCCACTGTCTTCCCCCGCTGCTGCTGATTCTACCTGCGCAACCTTACCCTTTGTTGCTGGTGCAGCTACAGCCGAAGATGGTGCATTCACGAGCTGAATATGCAAAACCACCACAAAACAAACAAACGTCAATACGAGTTCGATGATTGAACTTATCCAAACATTGTCCAAGCTGTGAAGTATGAGGAAACACCAAGAAATGAATATACCTCTTGGTTGATGTTGATTCCAATCTCATCTAGAACCTGGCTGACGAGCGCTTCTGTTTCCTCTTCCTCGTCATCTTCTCCCAATGCATCGTCCATCGCATCTGCCATGACCTCGCTCACCATTTCCATCCTCTCATTCTGTCGCTCGAATTCCATCATAATTTTCTGTAAGGCTGGCAAGTTCATCTGCTTATTCATCTGGCCCATAGCCTTTGTCACACCTTTCATGGCTTCTCCCATAGCTTGTGTCGATTTCAATGTCTGCAACCATTTCAAACAACAGCGTGTTTTATGGACCATAGTTTCACCTATGTGTCTGTTTCTAAAGTAATCCCTAAGCTTGGCAGATAAATCAGTACTTGAAGCTTCCTGTTTGTAGTACATCACTACCTCCGCTAGTTCAACCTTTCTTCAACCAACAGCAATGAATTACTATGTTCGTTTTAATTTTTCTGGATATCTAACTTGCGCTAGTTTATCATTGCTTTCGCCAAAAGTTTACTTCAGTAACCAACTAAGAACATAAACCCCATTATCCTGATGCATGTACAGGGCATGGATTGCAAGCAAGAAGGACCAACCAGGAGCGAGATCCAAACTCAACCACATAAGGATTTCATAACATCTCGTGATCTCGAACATTTGGGAAATTTGTTTAGGTTCCATTAGCAGATAGTACCAGCTCATTGCCAGTTCAGAAGCATCAATCAGGAGCAAATGTCCCTTTCGCCATAATTGCCAAGTGGAAATGCACAATCACTAATGACTTGAGATGCAGAAAGCGTTGGTTTACTGCTGTTTCCTTCTACAGTATTGTGCAGTGAAATTCAAGTGCAAGGTTATCTACATGCCAAAGCAAATGAAGCTGGAACATCTGCCTCTAATCTTATTTCAGCGACTCTAAACATATTGCATGGACAACAAGGCCAGGAAGTTCATTCACAATGGACAGCAGGTTATGCAAGCTACAAATCAAAAACAAGCAAAAGAAGATAGTTAAGGCGCATATCTGGAAATACCTGAATTCTCAAAGATACACCCTGGAGCTGTGACTTGAGCTTATAGAATTTTTCAATCTGATGTCTCGTCCGAATAAGGTCCTTCGCCATTATCTTGACAGCACCCTGTAAGAATTCTTCAATTGAGTAAAAAAGAACGTATGGTCACAACAAAGTGCAATTGGGATTTAGGTTTAGCTCCAGTTACATCAAAATGGCAAATTGAACCCTAGAGAAGGGGAAAGGGAAGAGGATTCCTCACCATTTGGCCCTGCTTAGCGTTCTTCTTGATCTCTGCAATCAGCTTCTTCTCTTGGGTTTGCAGACCTTGTCTTTCCCTCTCAATCTCCCGAATCGACTTGTCCAGCATCCGCTTGTTCTCCCGCAGAAGCTCTAATAATATACCACCACCATAAAAAAAAAACCATAAGTTGAAAATACTGCATGAATCACATCTGGCCTCCATTCTTATCCAACTCCATTGATCACGATTCAGGTAAAAACAAGCCATGTTCCTTGAAGAAGGAATCACCGGAGAAGAATTGACCCAAGGAATATCGAATTGACGAGGAGGATACCTGCGGGAGTTTTCCTCTTGCCGAAGATGAAACTCATGGCGATGCTGCGACCAAGAACCCCGGCGGCGGAGGAGGCGGCAACGGCTACAAATGGAATTGGTCTGAAGAGCTAGCGAGGGATCGGAATTCGGCGGAGGAGAGATCGCACTGGATTGGAGATGATTCGGTGTTTTGAATTAAGGAATTGGGAGAAGGAACGGTACTGAATTGTGGTTTTGGTCGTCGAATCGGAATCGAGCTAGTTGACAAGAAAGAGCATTGGTGGAATCCGCCAACTGGTTTTACGGTTAACGCGGTAGAGGGAGATGTTAGAGAAAATGGCGACCGGCGGGCGGGAGCTGGGGAAACGTCTTCGAAGCAACGGCAGGCCCAGGGGAGGCTGGTGGCTGGGCCCATTTACCACAGTGTTAGCCCATGTTGTCATGGGCTTCTGTCAGGTTGATTTTGTTCTCGCTTCTGGGCTTAGGCCTGTTTAGTGGCTTGCTTTAAGTTCGGGAGCACCCCAGACAAAATAGTGTAGATACAGTAAACCTTGGTGAAATTAGAAGCAGTTTTGGGTGCTATGTTAGATTTTTTACACTTTTGAACGGTTGAACCAAGCTGTTGCACATGCCTCAATTAAGATTTTACTTTTTTCGTAACCCTTTTGTCCTCACAACTTTGTTCTTTTGGATGAAGGTGAATTTCTTTTGCCCTCGAAACTTAATCTCTATATCTAAAACCAAATACTTAAAACTTAAAAGTGAATTTCAAGACAGTAAAACAAGTAGCTATAGTGTCATTAATCAGCTACATATAACAAACCAAATTGAGCCCCGTTCTCCTTCCCAAGGATTAAATTTGTTTTCAATTTATTATACAATATGGTCGAATTTACCTGCATTTTCAAATAATTTTTGCGTTGCTAATTTATTATACTATAATGATCAATATTTGAAATTTAACTTAAGTATCAATCTCACTACTTTAAGAAATGAGTAGAATTCAGGAACCACAATATTTGAGACACAACCCAAGTACATAATCATGTAACTCTGAACTTCTGCTGCAGTATATAACTATATATTGTAGAAAGACAGTTTTAGCTTTCCGTGAGATGCGGTCAGACCTTCTATTTCTCTTTTAACTCATTCTCTACGCGGAACCTCCTTATATTAGTTGGTAGATGTAAAATATTGAGAATGCGTAAATGAATCGTTGTGATAAAATTTTAGATGATTCCTCTTAAAAGTAGGCACAAAAAAATATAGAACTCTTCATAATCGAGATTAATTTCTTGTAAGATTAGAGTTATTCTCTTCTTTTTATTGCATGCATATATAAGATAGGATTGAAAAGAAGAGAATAACTCTATTGTTGGTGTTGACAAAAATAGCAAGTGCAATTAGACCGATTTTAATAAAAATTGGACAAAATCATTTCGGTTACAGACCAATTTTAGCCCAAAATAAGAATTGCTCAGTTTCTCTCAAAATGACATCGTTTTAGCTCAAATTAAATTAATAAGCAAATATAAACCCGATCTTAGTCGACATCGCATTCCACCCATCTCAATCTAAAAAAATGGTGCGTTTGGATTGGTATAATTCAAATACAATGTATTTGAAATGTATGTATTTAAATTCTTGCATTTGAAATAAAGGTAATTCAAATTAGTTGTTTTGATGTTCATTTTTAATTTGCTAGTATTTCAGATTTTATGGATTTTTATTTTAGTTTTGAATTTTCTGGGCACATATTATAAACTTTGAAAAATAATATTTTGGGTGCCCTACTTTATATTTCATACAGTCTAGTACACAAACTTTAATATTTTAACAAATTGGTTCAAATTTTTGGTAGTAAAATTACTTTTTAGTACCTTTATATCCTTTGCCTACACGATAGTAGCCCCAACTTTTCGAATTTAACAACAAATGCAATATGCTGGTATGAGGAATTTCAAATCACTAGTTTGTTCATGTGTGTCTAAAATTGACAAATAATGCACAAAACAAGTAGTTGGAATTCATCGTATAAATTTGGTACAGATTCACATACCATATATGTAATTAATACCCAAACCAAAATGATTTAGTATTTGAAAATCCAAATCTCAAATACCAAAATTCAAATCCTTTCCATCCAATCCAAAGTTCAAACACAACATAATTCCCTATGTCCTTCATGATTCTTCCATCTGTCTCTCTCATCCTACTCGTCCGTGTCCTTCTTCCGCATCCGAATTGGTTTCACTCGTGTCCTCCCTCACTCCCCCTCTCCTGTCTATGGTTTTAGTTTCACTGTCGATCGGCAGGAGCTGCTTCAGCTCACTCTGATCACCTCATTAATTCGTCGGTTCACGTTACGGGTCACTGGGGAATAGCCCTTGCAGTTCCACCACTGGGTCGCAAAGATGGCTGGTTGCAAGTTTTGGTTCCAACTTCCAACTTCTTTCGCGGTAGGATACCCATTTGCCGCTTCGGAGACTAATTGAGAATGACCAGATTTGAACTGTTGAACTAATTTGAGTGACTATGGATGTAATAAACTAATCTTAGTGGCTATACGTAACCCGCCAACCAAACTTCTACCCCTAGCGGATATTACGGAAAATGGAAAAGAAAAAATCAAGGATATTGCGGTGGTGGAAAATATCATATGAAACAATTAAACATTTTTTTTTTTTTATAAGCAACCTGTATTCTCAAAAATCAAATGTTGGGTGTTACAGGGCAATCAGCTAAAAGTTTAGGTATCAAAATAATTGGAGGGCGATCAAACCAAATTTCCGATTCTTCTGGTCGACACCTCACTTTCGCCATTGTGTGAGCACTTTCATTTCCCTTTCTCCCCCAAAATCTCCATCGAACATTTCCTTCCACCAGAGCTATCTCCCGAATTTCTTCACAAATTCCTTCAATCTCCCAGATCGTTGCTTCCTTTCGGTCAAGTTTCTGAATCACCGATTTACAATCCGATTCCATTACCAGTGGTAAGAAGTTGTGGGTTTTGGCGATTTTCAGTCCCCAGAGAAGAGCAAGGGCTTCCGCCATTTCAGGTGGCCACTGTGTTCGTGTTCGGTGGACCGCCGCCATTCTAAACTTCCCCTCCTCATCTCGTATCACCAGTCCATATCCAGTACCATCCTCGCCCAGCGTCGCCGCGTCTGTGTTCAATTTGAAGAATCCCTGTGGAGGAGGTTCCCAATCGTAACTAACTCGCTCCGACGAAGCTCCACCAACCTGGATCTGCAACTGCTGATATTCTTCCAGGTAATTCTGAGCTCTCTGAACAATTAAACATTTTTTGTTGTGTTTTTTAATAGAAATTTTCATTATTTTAATTGATATGTCAGCTTAGACAAAAAAAAAAAAAAAAAAAAAACTGAACTTAGCAGAATTAGACAAACAGTGGCCAAAGATGAAGTAAGAAGTTACAGTCTGTAACTAGTAAGCAATGAAATTCTTGTGGTGCACTTTCTACAGAGATGAATTGAACGGTAATAACGAGACATTAAAGACAGATTAAAAAATGTGATGAAACAACTAGGGGTGTACATGGGTCGGGTGGTTCGGGTTTAGTCATTTTAATCACCCGACCCATGCACTACGGTTTGGGAAATATCAAACCCCAAACCCACCCAAAAAAATTTAAACCCTACGGTTTGTTTCTAATTGGGTTGGGTCGGGTTGGCGATATTTTTAAGTAAAAACCCAACCCAACATAAAATATATAATTATTCTATATCATAAAAATATTTTATAACTAATTAAAATTTCAAACGAATGAACCGAGGTGAAAGGTATCAAAATTCACAAATATTGTTTGAATTTTAATAAAATGTGATCTACTTCAACATATGTCTTGTTTTTTCACAATGTTTGTTGAAATAGGCTAAAAATGTTATAAACAAGGGTTAATACCATTAGAAAACCCGAACTATTAACTTTGTGTCATTTGTGTCTTAAAGTATCCGATATGACATTTGTGTCCCAACGTATGATAGTTGTGTTTCATTTATGTCCTGGCGATTTCGTTGACCGTTATAGATGACGGTTGACCAGACGGAAGTCAACTTTACCATTGACTTTTGTTGACGTGGCAGCCACATAGATGCCACGTCACTGACACATCATATTTTTAATTTAAAAATAAATCAAAATAAAAATAGAAAAATAAAAAATAATTAAGAAAATAAAAAGTCTGTGTTCTTCTCTCACTATTTGCTTCTCTCTCAAAGATTTTCCCAACCCAGAAAACCCCAATTTCAACGATCTGTGCGCTAGCGTAGAAAATTCTGGCAATTAAGCACGAGATCCACCGACAATAATTAATCCTACTCCGGCGGAACAACGAGGGCTCTGTCCCTCATCCCTCTCTTCGATGACGACGAGCACTGGATATTTCCATTACTGATATTTCCAAGGTCGAGAGAAAAAAGTTTCCCAATGTCAGGAAGCTTCTCTTTTTGTTGGGTTTTTGTTTTAGGGAATTGATAAAGGTCGTCCTTAAAATTACTATTGATCGTCCTAAAAAATAACAAAGTTACACTTTTAACCTTTTGGCATTTTTAGCAAACAAACATCACTTTAACTAAAAAAATGAAAAACATTCAATTTCCCACACTCTCGAATTCATCGTTGACATTCTCGAGTCGTAATCGTTGAGAATACGTCTGAATCATGAGTAGCGACTCCGACGAGGTAAAAATCTGATTTTTTTTTCAAAAAAAATTCCAAAACCCCTCAACCGAAGCCAATTTTCGGTTGTACCATGGCTCAACCTAAGGCAATTTTCGGTTGTACCATGGACCAACCGAAAATTGGCTTCGTTTGAGCCATGGTGCAACCGAAGGTGATTTTTCGTTTGAGCCATGGTGCAACCGAAGGTGATTTTCGGTTGGTCCATGGTACAACCGAAAATTGCCTTAGGTTGAGCCATGGTACAACCGAAAATTGGCTTAGGTTGAGCCATGGTACAACCGAAAATTGGCTTCGGTTGAGGGGTTTTATGTTTTTTTGGATTTGTTTGGTTTATATCAATAATTTTCTATTCTTTTACTACGATTTATGATTCGGTCCATAAGATAATTTGTTGAATTTTGTTTTATATATTTTTTTTAGATTTATGGAAGGGGGAGGAGTTATTTGTTTTGTGTTTGATTTTGAAATTCAAAATGGACAATTTGGTAAATTACATATTAAGTTAGGACGATGGTTAGTAATTTTTAGGACGACCTTTAACCATTCAGTTGTTTTAACCCGACAATCAAAGATGGGGGATGGGGTTTATACTTTATAGAAGTGGGTTTAGTGAATTAGGTGGTGGGTTCAACTCCACTACAATTGTTGCATTCGGTGACCAAAAGCACTAGCCGCGGAGAGAGTTGGTCGGAGATTGCTGGCTCAATTTTGCGATTCTTAGTGAAGAAGGAGGAAGAAGAGATGGTACAGTGATCTGGGAAAGAGGAAGAACAGAGAGAAAGAAGAGAGAAACGAGAGCAGATCAGATCGGTCATCAGCTCCGAATCGCCCCTACTGGGTTCCGCGATAGGCTCCGATTTAGGGATTTTGCAGGGTATGGATTTGAGAAAGAACCCGAGACAACCTTTAGGAGCTTCGATGGAGGAAACCGTAGATGAACTAATTGTCCCAGTGTTGTTCCGCTGTTCCTCTCTTACTTCTTTCTACTTCTTTGTCTTTGCCTTCGACGAGTTGGAGGCATTGGAGTTTCCATCCCGTCGGGGATGTTTGCCTTGGATCTGTTCGGCGGAGGGAAGGAGATGTTCGGCAGAGGGAAGGGGAACAAATTAGTTTATTCGACGGCGAAGTACTAGTGGGAGGGGACAAGGATTTATGCAGCGTATGACCGGTGGACCGGTGGAGGAGGATCGTGGATATGAAGTGCCAACAATGGCGGCGGCGCGACGCGATGAAGGGTTGGAGAAGCGGTGTCGAGTGAGGAGAGAGGAGACAATGAGATTTCTTTTTCTTTTAATTTATATAAGTATTTATTTTTTATGAAAAATAAATAATAAAATTCCACGTCAGATGCCACATCAATGTTGACTAGACTTTCTGTTAAAAACTAACGGTCAACGCTAGTCAACTCTAACGGAAAAATAGTTTAGGACACAAATGTCATATCGGATACTTTAGGACACAAATGACACAAAGTTAATAGTTCGGGTTTCCTAGTGGCATTAGCCCTATAAACAAACGCACCCATAATATGTTATTCTATTAAAATTGTACACAAGAAAAAGGATTACGTGAATCATAACTATATTCAATTTATGTCTAAACTTTAAGTCGAAGAATGCATTAGATTAGGGAGACCATGAGAGAAAAACATGCCGAAATATCTTAATTTTCTCATAAGTATATGACTATATACGACATAAATATTTTTTAGATCCGAACTCATACTAATAGTTGGAACACGGGTTGGGTCGGGTTCTACGGGTTGTGTAATCCAAAATCCAAACCCAACCCAAAGGAGGCGGGTTGTACCCAAGAAAACCCTCACCCAACCCAAAACTTTCGTTTTAACGATAACTACGGGTGGGTTGGGTTGGATTGGACGGGTGAGTCGGTTTGCCGGTGTGTTTGTTCACCTCTAGAAACAACCGTGTAACACTGAATTATGCGTCTAATATGATTGATCATCCACAATTATTATTTTCACAGCACCACAAAATCGGTCAGCTTCTTCAACACAACTTTGTATTCCCTCGCAGCTTCCATCATTCATAGACTCCGTATTTCACTTTAATTTCTCGGGTGTTCTTCTCATAATCACCATCCATATGAAACTGCGTTTGTGTTGCGCCCTCCTCCTCCGCTTTCAATCTCTTGAAATAATCCATTAGTATCCCACTCTCGAAATCTCTATATTCTTCGTAGTCTTGCTCCCAAGATTCATCCCTTAACTGTCTCAACTTACCCAACAGCTTCTTTTTAACATCATCTGGAAATAAAGCGAAAATCTCACGTCAAATACATATACATATCCTTAAGTTTCCAGGTTCCAAAAGCTGAAGTCTAGCCATAAAATCTCTACAAACCAAACTTAGAAAACAACACAATTGTTTTATGAGGGGAAAAAAACAACACGGTATTAAATAGCATCCACATCAAGCTAACATAATTGACATTGCAATGGAAATGCAATTGCATTTTTTATTACATTTATGTAAGTCTCAATTGCAAAAATGCAAACTACAATTTCTCGCAATTCCATTTGCAATTCCACATAGCATTGATGGATTTTTTACTGTTTTTTAATAATAAAAATAATATTATAATAAGTGAAAGCAGAACAAACAAAAGTCTACAAATAAATTAGTGGGTAGCCAAAATACAATTTGTGCTCACTCCCTTGACTATAGCAAAACTAACTCTAGTAAAAAAAAATTATTAAAAACATTATTTGTGCCCTCATTTACAATTGCAAGTTAATTGCATTGATATAGACAAATGAAAGTAATGTGAATTGGATTGCTAAAAAATTAGAGGTGACAAAAAAAAACACAAATGCAAACGAAAGCATTATAACATCATACTTGTTTTTCATTCATTCATTTATATATTTTTCTTGCCAAAAATGTTCCTAAACGGAATAAACAAATAAGGGGTCGTTTGGAAGTTGCGATTGTTAAATAGATGTATTGTTGAGAATGCATGTATAATATTATACATGTATTGTCGAATTTGATGCATTGTAGAATTCAACGTTTGGTATGTGTGATTGTGTATGTCGCATCAGCTAAAAGCTGAGACAAAACAATCTCAACTCAACTATCTCAACAATCACAACAAAAAGTTGAGATATAACAATCACTCAAAATGAGTGATAGTTTCTGTCACATCAAAGAAACAATCCATGTATTGTTTATGTTAAAAAAAAACAAAAAATGATGCATTGTAAACAATATACATGCATAATGACAATCTCAACAAAACTATCGCAACTTCCAAACGACCCCTAAGAATATACAAGACCAAAAGAGGTCAAGTTTAAAAAAAAAAAAAATACGCGCTGATCAACAAAATATTGAAACAACGACACGAGATACCACCAAGACTTGTTGCCTGACAATGAAAATCAAAGGGTCGGAAAAAGAAACCTTAATTAATTACCTGGAAGAATCATGTGGGCATAGCGGTGAAAGTATTCGACTCTCGATTCAAATTCGCGTTTCCGGAAGCTTAAAAAGCCTTGGTAAGCAATCAAGTCACTGCGTTTCCCAGACAATCTCATTTCCAGAAGTTTCTTTCTAAAAGCAGGAAGCACGTCCTCAAAACCATGCTGGAACTTCTCCTTCAATCTTTCCACCTCCGAACACCAACCTACACACAAACCCACCCCAAATTTATTTGAAAAAGAAAACCAGAGAATAAAATCAACGATTCCAAAAATCATACTGGAGGTTGTTCTGGAGGGGGGGGGGGGGGGGGGGGGGGGGAAATCAGCGCTATAGAATATTTTATGCCGAAATCGTTGTTCAACCTGTTTTCAAATTGATACCAAAGTATCTACCAGTTTAGTCTCAGGTCCGATCGAACTTTCGGTACAATAGGATTCTACAAACGCACGGAATAAAACCAACTTGTCAAGTTTCATTGCGTGTGTTTTTTTTCTTTTTCTTTTTACCTCTCTTGAGTACAACCACTTCTTTCTCTCCATAGACAACGTCCCCATGACGACACAGTCGTCGTCCCTCCTTCTTACCAACTTCTTCAAACCTGAACTTGAGAATCGATTCCGTGATCAAGTCGGGAAGCACATCCCTCGATATGCGGCCCTTGAAGTACTCTTCCATCAGTTCCTTGAACTCCCAAAGCCAATCTACAAATTCCACCTCAACCATGCACACAAAATCGAAATCAAATATAAAAACAATCGCAGAGAAAAGTGCACCGGCTTCTAATTTCCGACCCCGTCTTTTCAAATGACTTTTTATACTTCAAATGCTGAAATAGCGATGAACACCTCTAGGCATTCCGCTTCTGTAAAAGCCTTAAATCGCGCTTTTTAGAAGATAAAACTAGGACTTACTATTTGGTCCGGACTTTTTGGTTTTACCCGAAACCAGACCGTATAACCCGAATCGGGACCGGATAACAAACAATCCAATCTCATATTCGGGCTTAGATTTGAGGTAAAAAATCGTTCGGGACCGGACCAAAACCGAATAAAGATCGGACAAGAGAGTCCAACACCCAAAACTCCACTAAAATCTCCACAATCTCAATCTAAAATCAAGACCGAATTGAGACCGGATCAGGTCAAAACCGGACCGAATCAAGACCGGACTGTATCCAATCCAATCTTTGGTCCTTATATTCTCGAAAATACCGGACTGAGACCGGATCAATTCGAACCAATTTAACCGGACCGGACCTTATAACCACCCCTAGATAAAAGTGCAAAGCTACAATTTGGATGGTGATAAAAACTTCTTTCCTTGTTTTGTTTGTAAACTTTGAGAAAGGCAATCTTGTTCGAGATGATAACGAAATTTGATTCAACATATATTATATATATATATATATATATATATATATATATGGTGGCTACTTCGGCGCACTCACTTTTTTGGGTGCATTCAGTGCACCCACCTCTAAAAGTGGTCATAATACATTAAATTTTGAAATTTAATGGGTTGTATTAGTCTAATATAACATGGAATCCCAACTAATCAACCCATTACACTAACCTATTAACTTTCAATTTTGAATCTCAACTCAAAATCCCAAATTGTAAACCCTAACCCTAAATTCCTAAACCCTGAATCATTCAAATTAAAGTGAATCTTGGAATGATTTTTGTACAAATTCATGTGGTTCTTGTTCATCATACCACAAGTGATGATTGACATCGTTTTCACATGAATCGCCTGCTCAGAATGACGATTATGAGGCTGGTGCATTGAATGCACCCAAAAAAATGAGTGCACTTACCGTCATGTCCCAAATATCCATAGCCGATCCCGAGCTGCTCCAACGCATATGAAGCGGCGTCGTTGGACGTGTACGGCGCAGCAGAAGCAGGCGAAGGTTGGACAACTGAAGAACAAAGGTTTAGATCGATCTCCATGAGATATCATCATTCACCAAGATAGGCACAAGACAAAGAGTATTGTTGTCATTCCTCACCGTCAAGTTGTGGCGCGGCCTCCTCCTCTTTGCCAGCAGCTTCCAGTCGATTTGAATAACTCATCAGTGCTTTCTTCCAGTGATCTGTAAGCAGCCGGAGGAACTCAACTTTTTCTTCAAGATCCTCTCGTTCCACCAAATCCTCCAACTCCCTGGTCATCCTCTCCAGCTTCTCCGTAAGCTCATCTGAGAGTTCATTAAAATTGCAACACAAAAGTTCAAAAAACCTCACACAAATTGAACAGAGACAAGAGTTTGTTTATGGTAATCATAAGCAAAATCTCACACAAAGCTACCTATACTAAGATATGTTTGTGTCTCTAACATCAGCATCATCATGAAACCCGAAATATCAATCAAAGCTCGAGCGAAGTTTCACTCTTATGGATGGATGGATGCAGCCAGCAGCCATAACTAATTAACTTGTTCTTCGAAAAGAGAACAAACAATAAATACTGGATTTGAAACTGAAAGATCAAAATTCCTGCAAAAGGGCTCGGATAACAGGCAGCATTGTGGACTATAACCACATATATCAAACAACAGGCATAGCTTAGCTATGTCTGACTTGATTCACTTATTAACCAAAGAATGGAAATCAATGGTGGGAAAACCAAACCAACCGCACCTGGAAGTAAGTAGGCATACTTGTAGAAGACCTTCCATCTCTTCTTCATTCTAATGGCATTGGTACTGGTCTGCTTATGTTTCACCAGCACCAAATCGTTATGGTCCCCCGACAACATCAGCTCCACGAGCGATTTCTGGATCGAAGGAAGCAACTCCGCTTCAGCTTTGTCGTACTTCCCGAACTCGAGGATCGAATCTGCAATCCAAACAACATGTAAAACAGAACAGGAATCAATCTGCTGGCAATACAAACTTAGCTAACTAGCTCCCCTCTCCCTCTCTCTTTTTTTTTTTTTTTCCTGTCTCACTGTTTCTTCATTGTTTTTGCAAAGTTTACTCACAAGCCAACCGCACCCATCTATACTGATGGATGGATATATAGCAGGTCGTCCCTCGCAACTATACCAACTAGCTAGTAAACGTATGGGTTAAAATTTGAAACTGAAAATTACTCAACACGCACATTGCCTCTCCTAGTTCTCGTCATATATAGGTAGTTTGATGGTGGTTGTATTGTAAGAGTGTGGTATAAGATCCAACAGAACTTTCTCCCAACAACTCGAGTTATTGGAATCAACTGGTTTCTGACGGATATGAGAGATATGAGTGGTTTTCTTCTTTTACTCACCTTTAAGAGGAGGCTCTATCTCCGATTCAAGAACCGGAACCCCATCCCAATAAGTTTCCGAATCGGTGTATTCGTAGTCCTTAAGATCAGGACAGTCTTCTTCATCGTAAGGCTCAGGCTGCAGATCGCCTTCCTTCCTTTCCAGCATCTTCTTCAAAACTACGATAAAAGAAAAATCCCCAAATCCCGAGTTACGAAAAGCTGCTAAAAATTCCTCTGTCTGAGATATATAATAAGAAAGCGAAGTATTACGAGAAATAATAGTGGGTTTTTTTTTGGGTTCACCGTCGATACGATACTTCAGCCGTTTCGACGGACTGGGAGGACGGTGCTCGCCGAATTCGAGTGCGTACGGCCGAGGTGTAGAAACAGCAGCCGTCGAAGGGACGGTTGAACAAGGTCTAGAGGTTGCTGAGCCGACATAGCGAGACGAAGGGAGGAGGAGAAGGCGCCACGCTGCTGGGAAGTTTCTTGTCAACAATGATCTTCTCAGCATACTTATCGATGGAGGGATTTGGACGGAAGCCGATGCTAGCGACGGCGACGGCGACCACGGGGGAAGTTTCTATGGCGGCACGCCGCAGATTGGTTAGGGCCGGCCCCACTATATACCCCAACTTTGTTTTATTCTTTTTTTAGACTTTTGAGTTTAGACCCAAAGACTTTACATATATTCTATATATATATATAAAAAAGACTTTATATATAGACTTCGTAAGGTTGGACATCGGGTGAGTAACGAATCTTGACATCTAAGTAGGTCGAGAAAATTCATATCTAAGGGTTGTGAATTAAGAGGTCATTTGGGGTCATTTGGAAATTGTGATTGTTTTGTTAAGATTGTTATTATGTATGTATTGTTTGGATTGCATTATTTTTTTTTAGCAGAAACAATACATGGACTATTTCCGTGATGTGACAGAAACTATCACTCATTTTGAGTGATTGTTATATCTCAACTTTTAGTTGTGATTGTTGAGATAGTTAAGTTGAGATTGTTTTGTCTCAACTTTTAACTGATGCGACATACACAATCACACATACCAAACGATATATTCTACAATGCAACAAATTCAACAATACGTGTATAATATTATACATGCATTCTCAACAAGACATCTATTTAACAATCGCAACTTCCAAACGACGTATTTTACTTTTTCTAGTTTTTTTTAATCGGCTCTTATCTTCTTCGTTCTAACTCGAATTTCAAATTTTTTTGCACAGATGGAACGAGTTTGTTGTGCTCTACAAAATGATATCAATTTTCAATATATTTCGAGAAACTTTTTTTCATACCTCCCATTACCAACTACATACCATTTTGGAAAGATCACTGGAAGTGGACAGGGCCGAACAGAATCTAATATTTCTTGTGGTTGGTGCTTCACGATCACCTTTTCACCAACAAGGAAAGAGCTAGAAGAGGAATGACGGAAGACAAATTCTGCAATCACTCCAAAACGAAAGAAGAAACTATATAACACATCCTTCGGGGCTGCCAGAAAGCCTGAATGATCTGGGATGCTATGCCAAGCAAGCTGGCTGCTAAGAATATGGATGTTTCCATTGATGTTTGGTTGATGAATAATCTCACTGATGAACGATCTGTAATTGAGTTTGGGATTATTTACTGGCACTTGTGGAAGCAGAGGAACGAGGAGGTGCTGGATGGACGTGGCTTCTCCAAGAATGGTCTTATCTCCAGGATCAATGCTTGGTTTTAGCATTGTCTGGAATGCTTACCAGAATGACCAGAAAGTCAAGGTCGGAACGTAGGTTAATAGAAGTTGTGCACAGGTGGGATGAGAGCCACCTTAGGAGGATTGGATCCAAATCCAATATGATGGCTTTGTCAATGCGCCAAAATGGAAGTGCAACTGTTGGGGTTCTGCTGAGAGATCATCTTGGGAGATGCAAGGGTACCTTCACTTGCAACCTTGGCAACTGCTCCATTACGGCAGCAGAGCTAAAAGGTGCTGCTGAAGGTCTTAAGATGGCTTGGGACAAAGGTTACCACACGGTGCAACTCAACCTTGATTCAACTACGACGATCTCTGTCATCAAAGGGAGCTTGAATGATTCTCATCGTCATGGAAACATTGTTATTCAATTGAGAAATCTCCCGAGTCTTGATTGGGATGTTGTGGTATCTCATGTCTTTAGAGAAGCGAATTTTGCAGCCGACTTTTTGACAAAAAGAGGTCATACTTGTAATTTTGGTACACATCTCTTCGATGTGTACATCCATGAACTTAGGTCGATGGCTGCACTATAATGTAATTGGTATTACCCACAAACGTCTTATTATGATTAATATGAATTAGGCGCCTTTGCGCCAGTCTGATTACCAAAAAAAAGCTATTCTGCACACAGATTTTTGAATAGTGGACATGCAACAAATAGATTATGAGTTCTAGTTTTTTTTTTATATGTTATGATGAGTTCTAGTTTACTAAAGGGGTGGGGAAAAGAGAAAATGAGTGTCGTCTCTAAGATTCGAACTTAAGGGATTCAGACTGAAAACTAACGATATGACCACTCCACCACAGAAAATACAGGGCAAGGACCTGCACCCAGCTGAGGAATTTTTAAAATAAAATTTTTTATAAAAAAATAAAAAGGTAATAAAGATAAAAAAAAATTATATTAGTTTTTAAGTTAACCATTTATAGTAAAATTAGGACGACCATTTAGTAACCCTAACAAATTTGTCGCTGTCGTACTCGTACACACTACGGGATCATCCCTCACAAACTCCTCCTCCGTCCAATCGAGAAGATGCTGCTGCCGCCGCGGCCATCTCCGGCGCTGTCGAGAAACTTGGTAGCTTGGCGTCCGCTCCTCCTCCTTTCGTCTCGCAACATTAATACAGGCTCCAGTCCGCATTGCTCAGTCGTACCACCACCGCCGGCCGAGGAGTTATGTGCTCTGGAGCAGCTCATGGCCGAGTACGGTACGAAGCAACATAGAGGTAAAAAAGAAAAATCGCTGAATTCGTCGAAGCAGATTTTGAGACGAATTATTATTATTACTCATCTTATTTATTTATTAATTGGGGATTTTTTTTTTATGAATTCTGGGGGAGGTTAGACCATTGGTTTTTGGGGTTCCAGCATCTGATGGACAATTACTTCAAGGGCCGCGTCGGGAAGGACGTGCTTCCTGATTTGATCAAGGAATCGATTCTCAAATTTAGGGCAGAAACCAGTAACAAGGAGTTCATGGAGGAGCTTCAGGGTGTCATTGTAGAGAAAGAAGCCATAATCTTCAGGGGAGGTAAAAAAATCACAAGTTATTATTCTCTCTCTCTGTCTCTGTTTTGTTTGATGGGTTTGGATTCAAAAGTTCCCGTAATGAACCTAAAACCCTCGCTCGTACATTCACGAGTTTTTTCAAAACTCGAAGATTTTATATCGAAACATTCATTTTTCAAATCCACACACGATTTTTTGGGGACAATGAAGCCTTGGGGTCTGGGATTGTTGCATAGATTGGATTCTGGAGTTGCAGAGCTTGTTGAGGGAATACATCAAAGGCAAAAAGCACATGCTTCCTTCGATGAGGAGAAAGCTCCTGAAGATGAGACTTTCGGGGAAGCATGATCAAATGGTGACCTCCTGTTATGAGAAGGAAGGGACGTACAGATCTCATTACGTGAGGTACATAACAACGAGAGCAGAATACTTCGACCAATATGCCAACTTGATTCTCCCAGGCAAGTTTTCCCACCCCAAGAACGAACCTGGTTACTATCATATGTTTTTATTCCTCGATTTTCTCATGTTCCTCGATTTTATTCATGGTGTTGTGATTGTACCTTTGTTATTACAACAGTACTGCAATCCACAACAGAAACAAAAAAAAGGTACTAAACGAGGAGCACTTCTACTATGCTATATAGTATTGGTGCTTAAATGTACAACTTGAACTTATACCATAACATTAAATGTATAAGTTTAGGTTGTACCGTAAAGGAATTTGTATCATTATGTTATGGTACAACTTTACAACTTGAAGTTGTACCATCACATAAGGTACAAGTTGAAGTTGTACCATAAAAGAATTTGTACAAAAAAGTATAGGTACAATCTGAAGTTGTACCATAACATTAAATGTACAATTTCAAGTTGTACCATAAAGATAAAAACCTATAGCACCAATGCCATATAGCATTGTAAAATTCCTCACTAAACGAGTCCTTTTGATTTTGCAAGAATGATTAGTGATTGTAAACTTGTATTAATTAAGAAGATCATATATACAACAAAACCGACGACTGAACTTTTGGTGTGCATTTGGATAATTTCATGTGTTTGATGGTTTTGCATATTGAATATATATAATTCCTCAAGATGATGTTGAGGACAAGCTGGTGGGGAAGCTCAGATCGTTAGGGTTAGTCTCTTCGGAGCTCGACGAAAAACGCTTTGTTAAGGGGATGCTGCTGAGGGATGTCAGACGGTACGGGAAAGAGCTTGAGCGACACAGAGAATTTGATTGGAAGGAAGAGCTTGAACTATATAGAGAATTTGAGAGTGGAGTTCTGATAGATTATTCAAAGACGGTGGAAGCTGAGGAGGAGGAGGAGGAGGGTGCAGCAACACAATTTCATCATTTTGACGACGACCACCACGACGATGATGATGATGAGAAGAATGCTCGTGAAGTTGTCAGGAAATACAAAGCGTTGAGCGATGAAGCTGCGAGGAAGTATCGAAGGAGATTTTCATATGAGTTCGATGAACCGAAGGAGTTCGCACATATACACCTGTGGCAAGATTAGGATGATGCTTGCTGGCTCTACTTGAGTCATAGTATATCTCTACAGAATTTGGTGTTATCGTTTTGGATTCCAGTGATTTGTGCAAAATCTCCCTTTGATTTCACATAACATTTTTCATAGCTATGATTCTGATTTAGTGACAAAAATTGTTACGTAGATGCGCGGACGCCTTCAGAGCAAAGTTCTTCGTGCTGAATCTTTTGATTTGTAGACTTTAGTACTGTTTAGGATAAGGGTTTTCAAAACTCTCGAGTAGAGTATCTCCTTAGTGGCGGGAGAATAACCCAAAATAACTACCAACTACCGGACTCAACGAAAGAATAACCAAAGCAAAAGAAACATAATTTGAATTCCAATAATATCATCATATATATTATTAATCATAGACAAAGTCACTATTTACAGAGTTACACAACCAAATCGGTTTCCTTCCCACCCTGGACTTTATTAGTCTCTCTCTTCTTATCCATTTCCCACAAGAATTCATTTTCTTTCCTTCCAAGAAACATTAATTAAATAATAAGATAATCACTACTAATCCTATTCCATTGACTTGGGTGATTCACCTCTTGATCCTATAGCAAAAACCGAGGTTAGATCAGTTTGGTTTTTGGATTTTGAACTAGTGACGTCTTTCTCGATTGGGGACTACTTTGTCGATGTGCAAAGTATAGAGGCTAGCTAAATTCTTATTAAATTTAATTATGACAATTGAGTCTCGTAATTCGACTCAAATTTCTCCAAACTAGTCTCTCAATTACCCTTGGTTATCAATTATTAAATCAGTTTCTTATGTGATTCTGCTGGGTCAGCTGGATAAACTTACCCCATTAACTAATGAGATTAATATAATCCTAGATGTGGTTAATTATCATATTGTATTCTAATTTAACTCGTCATAATATCCTACCTGTCTAAACTACGATTAGCTCCTTCGTTGGTCGAAGATTTGTTGTTCGGGTCGTTGCGGCAATTCCACATTAATAACATATTGCAAATAAATGTAATTCCGCATCAGTTTATTTGGGCGTGTCATATATTTCATAGACTAATTCATCTAATTTAAGAATTTAGAAGTTTATTAGATTCAAGTATACACGTTTAGGTATTTTATTAATTATCTTCAAATAAATTCATTTAATATTGATGAATTTTCACATTTCTAGATATTTTGTTAAACAGGTACAAACCTATTGTACCACCAATCAAATCATTCCACTTATATAAACCGATTTGACAACCTTCCAAAATTTTCACCCATCATCAGAGAATTGGAGGCAGGAAAATGGGTTCATCGTGCTGCTAACTGTTGATTGTTTAGAAACTTAGTCAAAAAGAGAGAGAGAGAGAGAGAGAGCAGAAATAGTACTAGACAGCAAGCACGCCTGTAGTTAGGGGTGGGCAACGGGAAACGGATATTTGGGTATACCCGTACCCATCCCGTTTTTTAAGGGTTACGGGTACCCATATTACCCGTAATATTATAAACGGATGAGACTTGGGATTGTACATTCCTAATATAGGTACCCGCGGGTTACCCGCGAATACCCGTTTGGGTAATATGGGTACCCGTTATACCCATTCAATACAAATGTAGAAATTTAATTCAACCCAACTCAATTCAAAATCCATTGGCCATTTCGGCCCTTACCCTTTCAATTTCAATTCCATTTGGGCCCTTACCCTTTCACTGACATGTTTGGTGAATTAGTAGAGAGAGTTGAGATGTGTTGAATGAAACTTTTTTTTTGTTGATAATTTGGTACTTGGAATGATTTATTTCTATGTGTTGTGATTGTTCATGAATGTGTAATTTGCAAACCAAGTATTTGTGATTGGGATGTATTTTGTGTCTTGTGATTATTAAGCAAATACAAGTTAAGTTTAAACTTTTGTTAAAATTTTAGTGGTTTAAACTTTGGGTATTTATGGGTAGTATGGGTACCCGTTATCCGTCCCGTACGGGTAATGGGTACCCGTTTTCCATATGAGTTTGGGATATGGGATGGATTTTGGTTTCCAAATGGCAGTGGGTACCCGTTTAAAACGGGACGGGTATCCCGTCCCGTCCCATTGCCCACCCCTACCTGTAGTCAAGCTACAGAAGAAACTGGTCAAATCTCATTAAGTCAAAGAAAAGATACCATGTAATCAACTTCTTTCATTGATAATCATACCCACCACCAGTAACCCACCCCACAAACATTTATAACAGCAGAAAGTAAAAACATTTAACATGACATAATCAAAAGAAAAACTTTGCCCTTTCATCTTGATCAACACATTGACCATCTATTCAGCAGCATTACTAGTACCCCTATAAACATTTGAACCCCATTAAAGGAAAAAAGAAAGAGATCAAGGTCACGAGGTGAAGAGGGACAAACAGGAAGCACCTGTTTTCAGACGGATCTGTGTAGGGAAAATTCTTTCATCAGCTGAGGTGCAGATTTCAGACAGTGATATATCGAATTCGTAATCGAAATTCGAACCTGAAACCTCCAAGTCCAAAACCGCCGATTTTACCATTTGACCACCTCGCTCGTGCATTCTCTGACTTCTGTGCTTTAGCTTTTCCTCTAACACACTCTACAAGTACTGTTCGTGTATTCTACCTCGGTTCTCTTCCCACCATAGCCTCGCATGCATCTCTCCAAATTTCTCACGGCTGCACCCACCCACAATAATAATAATCAATCAGTGAAAAGAGTGGTCCAAAAAAGGTCAAATGATTCATGCTGAATTTATGATCTTCCAAGGCAATACTTTCAGTGGTCGAGAGCATCAAATTCTATGCACGTAGAAAATGAATATGTCTCATGGAAAAGAAAAATGCCTGCTTTACCTGAACCTGACTCGTCGCAGCTCCCTCTTTCCACCGGGCAAGGCTCTAATGGTGATGTACACGCCAGGTTCGTCCTGTTCAACCCACTCGTTGTCCATCATGTCACTGGCATTACTGATCGACAACTCACCGGAACGATCAGCGTCCCTCGACGAGCTGCTTCTTCTCATGGATGCATCCATGGAGGATGTAGATGTTTCCGTCTTAGCAGCCCCACTTATGCTTGAGAGCTTTGGTGTGGAAGTGAGGCCACTGGCAGAGTCTGAGTATTGCCTGCTCTGCATCGGATGGTCGAGTGAGTCCGAGGACGAGTAGCCTGCTATTCCCATGCCCGTTGGACGGTGTAAACTACGCGGCAATCGCTCTCTGTTTAGTGGCGGTGTTAGTGGACTTCCCTCAGCTGATTCCATCTTTGAGCTCTGTAGAAGCATATCATTGAGAAGGACGTATATAGTATCAAACGGAATGAAGTGATTTGAAGTCACATTGGGGTTGCTGACAGGGGAATAAGTAAATTTTACCTCGTCTTCAGATCTTGGGGGTGTTTGAAGAGGAAAAGCTTGACGGCTAAGTCTTTGGACATTGTAAAGTTCCATGACCCTGTCATGGTTCTCTGCCCACCATTTCTGAGCTTGCCACTTGTTGAACATATCTCGGCTGATCAAAGAGATTAAACAGGAATCAAATCTTTAAGCATGGTCTCGATATCTTGTCATCGTAACCAGTGGATAAGTCAGGAGTTGGAAGAAAAGAAATCATGGTGCAGAATGATGAAGGCGACATAATTTAATCATACACACAGCAATGCATTATCTACCTCTTCACTCGAAAAGACACATTGCAATCCACGGTGCCTTGAAGGGCAAGAATCATATTACAAAGAATCCATTCTCGTACCAGGATAGTGATGATTCCAGTTTAGGATTACCACAATCCCCCCATTAAGTTTTTGCCAGATTAAAGATGCAGTAGGCACAAGAACAATTCACAGTGAACCCCGAGTATTCCGTATAATTCAGGTCACATGCCAGTACCGCTAACCCTTTCTTCATGGATGGTGGAAAATGAAGCAAACCATCATTCAATGGCTACCCACAAAATACTAACTAGACCGGCTTACATAGCCACTTACTTCAGTAAAGAATGTTTTAGGCATGTCATTAGACACCCTACTTTCTAAGAAAGTGGGGTATTAGTTAGTCAATTAAACACCATTGTATGTGGAAGCCACATCATTACATGAAACAGTGAAGAAGCAACAAAAAAGAGACTATCATGTCTGAGTGGGGTTCATATGGGAATGGATCTGTTTGTGAAGTCAAAAAAAAAATGCAAAAAGAGAAACCAAGAGATTGGGGTAGAAGAGAACCAGACAGGGACACAACAAAGGGAGAAAACTGAGTCCAAATGTATCAACATTCAACTGCCAGGAAAGAAACACCATGTCCTTAAAACAGAAGGGAACCAACTAAGCATAAGACTGTTTCCAATGTCCCCTGTGAACCCAGAAAGGGTCTGAAACTCTGAACCCTTCTACTGTATTCTCTAGCTGTGAGTAATAGCTTTTGTCATGATCAACCAATGGGCCACAAAAGCTTTTTGTCTTGGAGCAAAAGATATACGTTTGAGAGAAGAGAGGGGTTTTTAAGGAATGATTGGTGGTGACCGCACAAAGTGACAAAGGCCACCGAGAATCCGGCGTGAAGAATTGTTCTGGTTTGATTTGAACTAACAACTGGCCAAAAAATAAGGGTGGAAGAAAGGAAGGAAGAGAAGAGAACCAGCTTCTTCTCCCCGACAATGTGGTCAGTGAAGCCAAAAGAAAAGCTTGGCCATGGCTGGACACTATCAAGATCACTGCCCCCACCACCACCCACTAATGCGGCAGGCACAATGAGTTCCACTTTTGGACCCTTTTTCCTTTCCAATTGGAAGAAACTACACCCACGAATATGAAGAATATGAACACTATAATGAGAATTTTCCCCCCAGTAATAATTACCCTTCTAATTGGTTGCCATCGTCACGCTTAATTATTGTTAGTGAGGTATTAGATACGTTAAATAGGAGACAATCAGACAAAGAAAAGCAAAGCATCTTTCTTTCAAAGCAAGTAGCGAAAAGTCAGAGGTTAGATCCCAGCATCGCTTTCTTAATGAATTCACATCGTTAACTATCATGTACATATCCACATCACACAACCATAATCTCTTCAACCAAAACCAATTAAGAAAACCATCACAACCATAATACTATTTCCAAATAAACAAACAAAAAAACACAACCATGATACCATTGGAGATAAGGGGAAAGCCATAATAGTTTTATAAACAGCTTGTCACCAGATGCCAGATTTATAAATAGTTTGTGATAAATTTCATCAACCACGATTTTTTAGTATAAATAATAAGATTAATTAACTACATAAAACAAGAAAGGCTATAGCCTATCGGTATAATATGCACCAATACTATGTCATTTTATCAAACATGCCTCTCTATTATTTTTTAGATCAAACATGCCCTTCTGCTAAAATTTTCATTGAAAAAAAAACATCAATCATAGTTGAATCGAGAATTCAGACGACCCGACATTGACAAATTGGAGGATTTGTCCCTTGTTTTATTTCTCTGGGTGTCGCCCAATCCAAAATTCGATTATGGGTAACGGTTTGTGGATGAAAAATTTAACTAAAATACATGTTTGATCATTTTTAGGAGCACGTTTGATGTAAAATATAATATAGGGTCATATTTGATAAAACTGGGGATATTAGAAATATATGATTAACAATGTCCTGTTAATCGTCCATTTCACCAGAAGCAAAGAAACCAATCCAGACCGTTAATCTTGGGTGAAAATGAGTCTGTGAAGCGTACGAAGGCGTGTACCTGAAGCGCATCCGCTTGAGATCGTTGCCTCCCATGGGGAGCGAGACGAAGGTAATCAGAACGCCCGGCTCCACCTGGGCCACCCACTCCTTGGCCTCGCGCTCTTCCACGAACACGATCGGCGGCTCCACGCGCCGCCCGCTCCCGCTCACCGACGTCGGCGTCCCTTCCCCGCTCGAGCTCGATATCCCCTTCAGCCTCGCTTCCATCTCTTTCCCCCACGTCCTCGGCGTCGCCGAGCTCGAGCTCCCCGTCCGCTTCAGCGGCCACCGGAACCGCTGCTCCGACTCCGCCGCGTCCCACTCCGCCGCCGTCGCCGGGTTTGTCTTGAACCGGCTCTGATTATGCGCCGTCGGAACCGTCGTGCACGGCGCGCAGTGCTTGTATGCCCCCGAGGCCTTCAGCGCCATGTCCCGGAGCTGCCACAACCACCATAGAATTCCGCTAATTAAACTTCAAAAAATCAAAACAGAGGTTTAGGGTTTTTATCTACGGGAAGGAGAAAATAAAATAAAAAAGAACCTGAGATGTGAGGGATTTGATTGCTTGATTGTTTTTAGCGTTGGAACCGTTGCCGTTGGTGGCGGCGGCGGATGAGCCGTCCGGCTCATCCCCGGCTTGCTTGGAACGGGCAATACACGTCAGCATTTTCCGATTTCCCGGTGGAAGAAAGAATTGTAGAAAGCGGTGGAGGAAATTGAGGGTGTGGGGTAAGAAGAGAGAATGGTGACTGAGAGTCCGAGACCAGTCTCCACCACCACCTGCTTCAAAAATGTTCCGATAAGGGGAATCTCTGCCACAATGGAAAGTAATAAGGCCACCGACCGGGAAAAAAAAGATAAAAAAAAATTAGAAAGAAAGAAAGCATAGGCAATCATGTACGCTATTCTTGGAGATAAAACGAGAGTAAAATTGAAAATCGAGAAGATGGAGAAGAAGAAGAAGACTTACCTCGCCGGAGCAGAGGCAGTTGGACGGGCCAGTTACAGCGGCGTCGACATTATTTGGATCGGCGGCCGGCCAAAGAGGAAGCGACGGCAGGGTGGGTTTCTCGGTTACGGGGTTTGTTTCTTCTGCGGTAATTGTTTCTGGAGGGAGAGAGTGTCAGAGCTATGTCGAGGCTGAATGAGAGAGCGGTACTTCTCTTGTGAAGAAGAGAGGGAGGGAGTCTACGATAGTGTCATTTTGGGGTGGGCTAATAATACTGTACGGAGTGAAGTATCTTGTCTGGTTAGGTGACAAAACATCTAATTTTGGGTATTCACGTCATATTTGTGTTATTCATGTAAGATGTTGATTATTCATGCAACAAATATTGTTAGGTCATGCCACCTGATGTTTATTCATGCATATTGTTAATTATTTACGTTGTTATAAAATAAAATTTCAAACTTTGAAATATATCAAAGTGAATGTCATTGTATAGATTATGATGAATACAACATATTTTTACAGATTAAATGATAATCCAAATTTAATTCCATAAAATATAGTCAATACAAATTATGAGGGGAAAAGGTATGAATTTCCATTTACGCGAAATAACTTACACTCTTACGTAACTCACCATAGTATTGCGTAAATTAGCACAAAATGGCGTAAGTGAATTGGTTCTAGGTGTTCTGACACCTAAAGTGACAAGGGATGTTTTCCTATTGTACTAGTGTTTGATTGTGCGTGACGTTTTGCTTGTGAGTTGTGACATTGTGCAAGGCGAGCTGCTTCGCTTTATCTCTATCCCTTTCTTCTTTAATTTCAGTTAGCTCTTGTTTTTCCCGCATAATAATTCATAAAATTAAATAAAAGGGTAAATTATATGTTTGATTGTTCAGTTTATCAAATTTTTCACGTTCTGCCATTCAAATTATTTTTCTTATTTACTAGTCATTAACTTTACACCTCGTTTCATCTTAGGTGGCAGTCAACTATCAAGTTTGACCGTTAAGTTGCTTACTATTTACACTTAAAAATAAATCTCATACCACATCGATTTATTACAAAAGGTTAAATGACTTATTGGGTAGGATTTTTGGGCCTAAGATAAGAGCATCTCCAACAATGAAATTCATTTGCAATTTCATAGGTAGTCCCTACTTCCACTTCTACAATTTTGAGAAAACACTACTTCTCAACTTCATCCTCTCTACAACAATGAAATCCAAATGCAATTTCAACGAGTGGGGCCAACATATTAATTTACCACTACTAAACAATTTATATATCATCTCCGTCATCTTAAATCTTTAAAATATATAATAAAGAGTAAAAAAGGGCCCACCAGCGGGTCCATTTGAATTGCAAAAAGAATTGCACATTATGCAAATTTGCATCCTTGCAATAGCTTCTCACATCAATGCAATTTAAAGTTGCAATTGCAACTCCTTGCCACATCATCTTGCAAGTCACTAAAATTGCACCATTGAAGATGCTCTAAGTGGCTAACCTCCCTCTTCCTTGCTCCGACCGCCCCCATGGTCGCCGCCTTTCCTCTTTGATGTTGGACCATCCTAATTTAGTGAAAGTTTGACTTGTTTGTTTCCCTTCTTGACTACCTGGACCATCAATTCAATAAAATACTCCACTATCTTATTAGGCCATACTTCGTTTCCCTCAAGTATCACACAATCATTATTGTTTTCGACATCATCACTCTCCATTGCTTACCAAACTACCATTCAATAAGAAATCACCAATCAAACAAACAATGCCATAAATCTGCCACAAAATAAAGCTCTACCAACATGCCATAAATCTATCCTATGGATCATTCATTCTCATAAGAAAGCATCGACAAGTTTAACGGTCGAGGAAGTCGAGGAAAAAAAACATCCTCACTAACTTGGATTTTGTCACCGGCTGTTGGAGGAAGAATATTCGGTTGCTCGCTGCTGGAGGAGGAAGAGGCAGGCTCGAGGTTTAAGGTCGCGCCAACTCGTCTTCTTCTCGTTCGTTGGCTAGAGGAGAAGCTCGTGTGATGGAGCTTCGGTCACTAGCTGGAGAAGGATTTTTCATCTTCAAAAGAAGAAGATTCCGAAAGATTATGCGGAATAAAAAAATCGCTACGATCGAATAATCGAGCGCAAAGTTACGTTCGTTTGAAATTTCAGCCTAAATTAGACCTGCACTGCGTTTCTTGGACACGATGAAGCCTTCACCACTTCTCCCTGCCGCAGTGATGTATTCACCGCTTCTCACTGTCACAGTGAACATGTTTACCGCTTCTCAGTGTCACAGTGAGCCCCAAACACGTAGAGAATTTTTTATAAAATGTGTGTATTTTGAAATAAAAAAAATATGTATTATGGGAAAAATCCGCAGTCCAGCACAGCAAATCAACTGCAGCTGCACGGCGAAAGTCTACAGAGTTGCCTTTTCGGGGAAGGAGAATCCGGCGTTCCCTTTACCCATCCCACCATTATTCAAGCCCGATCGAAACGCCGAAAGCCACCCGGCCGGCAAAGATGGTGTCGTACGTCAACATCCTGCTCTACGGCGTCGGCGGCATAGTCTTCGCCGGGATGGCCTTGCTGGTCGCCTTTCAAGAGCGCCTCGTATATGTCCCCGTCGTCCCTGGTCTCACCAAGTCCTACACGATTACTCCCGCCCGCCTCCGTCTCACTTACGAGGACGTCTGGCTCCGATCCTCCGATGGCGTCCGCCTCCACGCCTGGTTCATTAAGCTCTTCCCTGACTGCAGAGGTCATAATTCTTCTACTCCCGCATTCTATATCGAAAGATCCCATTTCTTCTAGTACTTTCTCTGGATCCGTTTCTTCTACTCTCCTTTCCGTTGAGTTAGGGTTTTTGTTTCAGCTCTGCTGAAGACTTCGAACTGTGGTTGGTAAATTGGGTCGGGGGGTTTTAGGTATTGAATTTTAGGTGTGGCTACTCCCAATTTGAATTGAGATTTGCAGATCTTAAAATAAGAATTGAATTTCGTGTGTGATTGTGATGAAAGTTGAACTTCACTGCATGCCGTGGGATCTAGTCATTTTCTTTCTTCACTGCAGCATTTCATTTGTTGTGCTTAAAGAGTTTCATTGCCGTTGCAGGTCCAACCATCCTTTTCTTCCAGGAGAATGCAGGAAGTATCCTTATGATAATTGGGATTCGGCTGCCTCGGCTGTAGTAAAGTTGTGTTTGCTATTAGGTTTTGTTTTACAATCTCTGTTTGCTATTATGTTTCTTCTACATGGGTTAAACTCAATTGGAGTTGCCTTAACCAGGGACTTGCAGATATTGCTCATCGTCTTGAAATGGTCCACATAATGTTACAGAAGTTGCAGTGCAATGTGTTCATGCTTTCTTACCGTGGGTATGCATAGGCAATCTTGTTCTCTGAGTCTCTCTTCCCCCCTCCCTCCCTCCCTTTCGTGTATCATTTCTATTAATGGACGGGAAGTATCCTGACTGTCTTGTGCTTGCTTGATCTGAATATATGATTCATTCTGTCAATTGGTAGTTATGGAGCGAGTGACGGATCTCCTTCTCAGCATGGAATTACAAAGGATGCTCAGGTGGGTAATTTGCAGTCTGTTCTTTGCTTTCTGTCTGTCTGTCTAATTGGTTAACCTCTCATTTAACCATCCTTTTCTTCTTCCCAGGCTGCATTGGATCATCTCTATCAGCGGAATGATATTGATACTTCGAGAATATTCGTTTTTGGGAGGTCACTGGGAGGTGCTGTTGGTGCCTTACTTACAAGAAACAACCCTGATAAGGTACGGTCCTGGTCAATGTTGTTGAATCATTATTAATTAAGCATTAGGTTTTTTCCTCCGTTCCTCATTCTTCTCCCAAGAGTGTGTGTAATCCTGGCCTTTCATTCGCCTCCTGAAGCTATTCAAGCTCATCAACTTGTATAGGCTGAAGTTTCATGTATTCTAGTTTTACAATTCTAGTGTTTCTTTTTTATATTAAATATATTCCTTATAGTTTCCTAAGGAGAGGATATTTGAAACTCCTTTGAACTTTGAAATTTCAATAATGTACTGCATAAGCTTGAGTCACATTCTATAGCTTAGTTAACAAATCACTTTGAGAATGTGAGGACTAGTTTGGTGTTGGTGCTTTTCATACTCTGATCGTGTTCCTATAGTTAAGGAATTGTTTTAGGATGCCAGTAATAAGGAGACAAAGGTCTTCATGATGTGACGTACTATTAGTTCGTCACTGTAAAAAGAATCAGGTGTATTAGACATCACCAGGAAATGTGGACTTGCTCATCTATTTAGATTTAGACTTCATATTGGTTTGACCTTTGAGGTGGTGACTAAGACATTTTTACGGATCACATTGATGTTTGGATTGGTTAGAACTCTCCTCTATTTTTGAAGAAGAAAGAGGTGGTAGAAAAAAGTAAATCGTATGTTGTACCCATTAGCTTCCTCCTATCTACATATTCACATGGTTTTTGTTGTTGATGTTAAATTCTTGTCGCCTAGCTTGTGGAATTACGTAGTACGTAACTGCTTGCCGGCTCTTCTAATTCAGTTGATGCTGTCTTTGAGATTTATGAGACATGACTTATGGACTTCTTATTTTGATATGTACTTTAATTCTATCCCCTGTTCTTCTTAAGGATAGTAATTCATAGATGTTGTGGCATCGTTGATGACCTTTCCTTTTGCTCTGTACCTGCCCTTCAGGTTGCTGGCATTATACTGGAAAATACTTTTACATCTATTCTGGATATGGCAGGAGTTCTGCTCCCCTTTCTGAAGTGGGTTATTGGAGGATCTGGTGCAAAAGGTGTTAAAATTCTTAATTTTGTCGTACGTTCTCCATGGAACACCATCGATGTCATTGGCCAGGTGAGTTTACAATTTGGGGAAGCCCCCTTCCTCAGATATTTGAACTATGCCTTCTGCTTTCAAACATTTAAAATATGATGTCAGGTGTTAAGCAGTAGTCAATCATTGAACAAGGATCACACACAGTTACTGAAATTGAGGGATTATTCCAAGTTTCCAACCTCACTTTGCTTGTGCGACACTAATATGTTTTGGGTGCTGTAACTGTCAATCTGTCATGTAATAATATCTCTGTACAACCACAACTTTTCCAACGCTTGCTTCTGCACATATGATCCACCTTTGAACAGAAATGAACATGTAATTGCAGGTTAAGCGACCAATTCTTTTCCTCTCGGGGTTGCAAGATGAGATGGTTCCTCCATCTCACATGCAGATGCTTTATGCCAAAGCAGCTGCTCACAACAAGGAATGCACTTTTGTTGAATTTCCTTCGGGAATGCACATGGATACCTGGTTGGCTGGTGGGGATCATTACTGGGCAACTATTGAGCAGTTCCTTGAAAAATATGCTCCCAGGAATGATGAAACTGATTCTTCAAGCAGTGGCGTAGGTAATTTTGGATACTTCTGAGATTTCAATTAAAAGATGCTTCTTGCATGAGTAAATTGTGACTTTGCTCCCCGCCATAAGATTCTATACCCATTCCATTCCACTCCATTCCATTCCATTCCATTCCATTCCATTCCATGCTCATTCTTTTTCTTTTTTCCGAATCGGTTTGTTTCAATGCAGATTCTGAAGGAAGATGACTCGTTTCGATCTTGAATTTTGAGATGACTCACTGGAGGACCTGAAAAGTGTATGTATGTTTTCTGTTTGAAGTTGCAGCAACTAAAAGCTCAATATGAGTGAGGGCTTGCAATGGCTGCTTATTGGGAAAAGAAAAAATGGGATAAACCATACCCTGGTCTTCCAACTTTGGCGGGTTGTTATTCATTAGGAAACAGGAGGCAGTAGAAAGCTTACCTCAGTAGTGAGTTCCCTTTGGTATAATATAGTTTTGACACATTACTATTTAGTCTCTATAGGTAGTCGCTTTCTGACTTCTTATTGTTGTATGCAAATACTTCTATCTTCATTCTTTCCCCAGAAAGAGAAAAAAGAAAAGCAGAAAATGGGTTTGTATAAGAAGTTAAAAGGCTTAACTATCCCTTTCCCAACAACTCGAGTTATTGTGACCAAGTGGTTAGTTCGCTAACATGGTATCAGAGCCTAGAACGAAAGGTCATGGTTTCGAATCCTCATGACGACCTCCAATTTAAGCAAACAATGGTTTAGTATAAGGAATGGTATGTCCAACCTGTACGAACTGAAAGCCTAATGGGTTTGGCAGCACAAGGAATGATACGTTCAACCTGTGCAAACCGTATAAAAAAAAACCCCGACTAAGGTAGGCTTTCGTTTGAGGGGGCGTATAAGAAATTAAAAGGCTTAACTATCTCTTTCCCAACAACTCGAGTTATTGGGACTAAGTGGTTAACTATCCCTTTCTCAACAATTCGAGTTATTGGGACCAAGTGGTTAGTTCGCTAACAGTGACAACCATTTTATTTGCATGTCTGTCATGTTGGCTAGACAATCTCAACTTTGGTAGAGATTATCTATCCTTCGTTTTGAGTGAAATATATAATGTATTGTCAGTACATGCATTATATGCTCAAATAAAATAAAGAAAGTTAAATTCTGCAAATAGAGGGAGGCAGAGGATCGAACGAGTCCTAAAAATTTAGTGTAGGTTTTGGGCTTGGTACATAGTGGTATTGGGCTTGGTAGTTTTTAAATTATGGGCTTACCCGTTCTATAGGCCCGTTACTATTTAATTGACATTTTTATCATAAATGTACCGCTTTCGAAAATTCTAATTTTTCAAATTCAAAGCAAAAATCTACCCTCAACTTTGTTCATCGTTCTGAGAAATGCTAGGGCTAGGTCAGAGGAGCAAAATCGAAGTATCAATCGCTAAATCGGCAAAGAAAGAGATCGACGCTACACGCTAGTGCTGGGTTTCTTGGTCGGATGATCCTTCCATCTGAATCCCCCGCCCCCCAGATTCCGTTCGTCACGATTCAGTAACAGAAGGGGACCTTTTGGAATCGGAAAGAAAGGAAAGCGGGAAGAGAATTTGTTGGTCAGCTCTGCCACGTTCGGAGCAGCTCCACCAGACACCGCCGCCGTGGCCTCCGCCAGTCTCCTGCTTCTGGGCTCTCACTCAACTCATCATTTCAACGCATTTCTCTCTAGAAGGTAGGTACCTTGTTCTGCTCCTTTTCTGTGCGTAATTTTGCTCTGCAATTCGCTCCAACGTTTGCTCGCAAGTCATAGGGGTTTATTACCCCACCAATCGTTTCCGATCCTCCATTTTTCGTGCTGCGTAGTTGTTCTGGTTATGGAGAATTAGGGTAGGGCAATGGAGGGTTTTTTAAGTACTGGCCTTGCTACCACATTTGTTGGATTTTTAGTTCGATTATTTTCCCTTACTAGATAGGTTTTTGATGCGTAATTGATTGTAGGATGATCATGCCTCAGCCCTCAAATGGCCTCCTGGGGAATTCTCTGTTGTACCGTACCCTGAAAGATACTCATTTGGCATAAACTAGATCAAGTTGTAGTGCTGTTTGTTACTTGCTTTCAATTTCAGAAAGCATTCCCCTCTCTTCGATCCTTGCTTTGCTTAAGTAAATATCAGTTCGTGGATCTTCCGACTAAGTACTATAGTATTCGATGTATGTTTCATTTTGGCTTTGGGTATTGCATTGCAGTTCCCTGTTCGTAAAAAACCCGTTTGGTCCATGGATCCAGAAGCAGCAAAGACAGCACGCGAGTCTCTGGAGCTGTCGTTCCAGATGTCCAACATCCTCGACACAGGGCTTGACCGTCACACGCTCTCGGTTCTGATAGCCCTCTGCGACCTCGGGTTGAACCCCGAGGCACTCGCTGCTGTTGTGAAGGAACTGCGCACTGAAGCTCTCTCTTCTCCACCACCACCACCACCTCCCGCATCATCATCATCTTGAGCATGTCGTTTGGCTTCGTCTCCCATCAGCGAAAATCCGAGGCGGTATATCTCCAATATTTCTTTGTTAGTTCCTTGGCTCTTGTCTTCCACAAGTGCAAGATGTTGCAGCGCTGTGATATTCTTATTACAAGACTCCGGCTTGTGAACCGAAAGGGGTTAAAGAGCGGTGTGCTCGAGTGTTCATTTGTTCATGCCTTTTGCTTTGGTAACGCGAGTACCTTTGATTTTGAGGCTGTAACTCCAGCCGTTCTGAGAAGAAATCCTTGCGTGAAGGTGTCGGGCCGGTTGAGTGGCCCATCGACTTCAACTTCGGCCACAAAAGAAATTACGTGGGCCTTTGTACTGATATGGACCTTGGGCCCAACACCATCCTAATCCTTTTCAACTTTGTAGAAGGAAAACGGAAAGTTATGAAACGGCACCGTATCACCGCGCGGTCTGCCTCCTCTTCTAGCAAGCAAAAACCGGAGTAGAAAGAACTCGAAGTAACTAAAATTAAAATAAAAAATAGCGGAAACCAAAATTCTCTGGAAGACAGTTCAGAAGCTGCTGCTGCTGCTTCTTCTTCTTCTTCTTCCTCCATCGCCACACTCCAAGAACTTGTTCTCTACCAAATCCTGAAGCAAAGACTCTGATAGAGATCAATAAACCCCTCTCGCCGGCCGGTAATTTCTCTTTTCTCACAGTTTCCCAGTTCACCGAAGTTCGCCCAACCATGATGCTCAGAATCCGCAGCCGGGACGGCCTTGAGCGCGTCTCCGTCGACAACTCCTGCACCACCGTCGGCCACCTCAAAACCCTAATTCAATCCCAGCTCCAAATCCCCATCCACAACCAAACCCTCTCCACCAACCAGAACCTGCTTCTCGCCAAATCCCCAACCGATCTCCTCAAATTCGTCGACATGGCCGACCCGGCCACGCCGCTCGCCGCCCTCAACCTAGCCCACGGCTCCATCGTGTTTCTGGCATACGAGGGTGAGAGGAGCATTGCCGGCCCCGCCGTCTCCCCGGCCGGATCCTTCGGGCGGAAGATGACCATGGACGATCTGATCGCCAAGCAGATGCGGGTCTCCAGGCAGGAGAACCCGCACTGCGAGTCGGTTTCCTTCGATCGCGACTCCGCCAATGCTTTCCAGCACTACGTCAATGAGACGCTCGCTTTCGCGGTGAAGAGGGGCGGGTTCATGTATGGGACGGTCTCGGAGGACGGCAAAGTTGAGGTGGATTTCATATACGAGCCGCCTCAGCAAGGGACTGAGGAAGTTCTGTTGCTTTTGAGGGATTCCAATGAAGAAAAAGCCGTCGATGCTATTGCGTCTGGGTTAGGGATGAGGAGGGTTGGGTTCATATTCACGCAGACCTTAGCGCAGGATAAGAAAGATTACACCTTGTCCAACAGAGAGATTCTGCAAGCTGCCGAGCTCCATGCCGAGAGCGAGTTGAAGGAGTGGGTGACTGCGGTGGTGAAGTTGGAGGTGAACGAGGATGGTGGTGCTGATGTTCACTTTGAAGCATTTCAGCTTAGTGATATGTGCATCAGGCTATTTAAGGAGGCGTGGTTTGAGACTGAGATTGGGCAGGATGTGGATCCTAAGCTATCGATCATGAAGAAGGATGTCGTTGTGGGCGTGAAAGATGTCAAGGAGGTCGACAACGATTTCTTCTTGGTTGTGGTAAAGATTTTGGATCACATGGTACGTTCCCTAATTCTTAATTTTCTTATGGTTGTCTTCTACTTATCTATGTCTAAACTGATATATGTGTGATCAAAGGTGCTAAATGTCTGATACCTGTTGCATGCAGTTCTGATTTCTCTAGACTTAGCTTGTAAATATCGTTAGATAGGTCCCTTGATTGGTTATTGATGGCGATAGGCGATCGCACAGGAATCCAACCATTGTACTTGCTTTGTCTGTTAGGCTACGAGGAGTAATATTTCTATGGGGAATCTAGGTTTGCTTGTAGATCCTTTCAAGGGCAGCCATCAAATGGGGAGATTAAGTTCCATTTCCAGTGTTATGAGAACTGCCTTGAGTTAGCATTGTTGTGTGGATTGTTTTGTGAGTGCAAATGGTGTTATGTTGTAAGTTGTAACTAGGCCAGTGATCACGCTGTCAGCAAGGGTTGGCTAGTTCTGTTGTGCCTTTATTTGCAGCATGCTTTCCTTTCCCGGCGAGGAATACTGTGGCTACCATATTTTAGGTTTAAGTGTTCACTATAGAGTTCTCCCTCGTTATATGGTTTACCAGCAGTCTGATCCTGTTGCTCCTGGTTTGGAATTTGTGTGGCGTGCAAGTATGAACCTTAAGCAGTACGACTGAACTATTAATGCCATCTCCTGTCCAGCATCTTCTTCTTTTGTTGGTCTTTGGTTATTTAGGGGTGGGATATTTAATTCATTGAAGCAATTATCTGTTTGATCTTTGACCAGCTTTTGAAACTAAACCTCCGACTGTGATGTTGATGATGAAAATCCCATGTCCAACCTTTGGAAAGGACATTTGAAAGTATCGCTGTCAAGTAAATTTGTTAGAACCGTAACTGAGATATGGTTCCAGTACATTATATGGATAAACTATTTATACTTTATAGTAAGTAAACGATTGTGCAATCTTTATGGCTATTAAAATTAGTTTTATGAGTGTATTAGACAAGAATAGGTGACCATGGAATGAAGCCTAAACCTAAGATAAGAATGATGACCAGAGGGTTCTCCTTACACTGTTTCATTGAACTAACTGAATTTGTGAAACAAGCTTGCATTTTAGACAGAAGCCCAGCCCTTCTGTCGGATCAAGTTTTACGCAGCCCAAATTCGCCGTGTTGGTTTTTCGCATTTGAATGCGTAGTTCTGGGAACAAGTTGTGGAATCAGGAGTGATCTTGCATTGTGGAATCAGGAGTGATCTTTCATGTTGATTTGGCCGTGATGAGTTTATTCTGTTTTACTATTTATTATCTCCATTTGGCATGGAGCAACTTTACTGATGTCTTGTTTCTGTGGTGCAGGGCCCTCTTTCATCAACATTCCCTATCGAGAACAGGGCCACCCAAGTGACAATGAGGGCACTGAAGAGTCACCTCGAACGCGCGAGGAGCCTTCCATTTGTGAAGAGGATATCCGATTTCCATCTGATGCTATTTCTTGCTAGGTTTCTCGACCTAAACTCCGATGTCCCTGCCCTTGCAGAGTGTGTCCTAACACAAACGGCGGTTGCAGAAGGTTACCAGATCCTAATTGAATCCATGGCCAGCACTGCTTGATCCCCCTCTTGCCCCGAGACTTTACGAATTCCTTCCTCCTTTGTCCCTGCTTGACAACCGGGATCACAGAATCTCCGTTTGCCTAATCACGGCCACGAAACCTTGTACATTACTCTTTCTTCTCTTTGGTGATCACCATGCTCAAAAGAAAGGGCGTATCCTTGCCTGGAAAATTAGTTATTATGTCCATATTGTACTTAACAGTTTATTTATGAGCATTCTAGCCTTTACTTAATAGCTTAATTACTTTTGGATAATTTGTGTTGAAGTTATGAATAATCCTAGCTTCTTCTGAAGTTCAATGTTTAAATAACTTAACTAAGTAGCTAAACTCTAATCATACCTCTAGAGATGATATCATCTGAAAATAATTGCCCTTTGCCTCACTATGATACCAAATTCTAGTCACAAGATGCATGGTGAATAATTTTCATTTCATTTCGTTTTATTTTGTTCGTTGTCGATTTAACAGAGCAACCCATCTTGTGGATAGATCGTCTATACAGGAATACCTAGAAGGGTGTAATGGAAATCGAGCTAAAATACAGGTACCAAACCGAGATTTCTGGAGAGGAATCAGGAATGCGTACAAAAGGAAATGTTCTTGTCCGTAAGATAGTTGTCTACTTTGTCTCAAACGTCTGGTAGCTGGTTTGAAATTTGGGATGAAAAGACAGACAGAAAGCGGCAATTTAGAGAGGGAAAACCCAAGATAGGAAGCCAACCCCCAAAAAAGGTTTGGAATCCAAAAACCCGCTCCTCTCGCGCTCTCTCTACTTCATCGCTCCGCCTTCCGTTTCCCCCCGTCGCCGTCGTCGATTCAATTTTCGGAATTTGAATTCGAGCTTCACGCCTCCTTTCGTTCCGGTGATTCTCTGGGGGTTCGAGAAGAAACCCCGCATTTTCTGATTCCAGGTCAGTTATTGTTTTCGTTCTCTTCCCGCTTCATTGATTTGATTAATCGATCGGTTCACCTGGATCCGCCCGCCGGTCTTTTCATCGTTTCTTAGCTGGGTTTTTGTTATCCGGTTGAGAAGTGTAAGTTTGTTTTGAGTTTTTCATATGATTTGTCGAGGTGGGTTGCGACGGTTGTTGCGATTTTGGGTTTTGATTGGGTGAGCTTCTTCAGTTTTCTTCAATTGCCTTTGCTTCATTGCAGAGTTTGACTTTCCGGTTGCTTTCCCTTCATGTGATATTGGTGGGGGGAAGATAATGTTGTCGAGAGTGGAGAATGGGAAAAAGACTAGGGAGGAAGCAGGGGATGAGACTTTGTTGAATGATTTGCAAACTATAAGTAAAGCTCTGTACCTTGACAAACATAAACCCTCGAGGACGTTACTTCCTACGGCCAGTAGCCTAGCAAAAGCAACTGGGAAGCCGCCTGCGGTGGATCCCAGATCGAAGCTCAAGCCTGGGTCGGTAGCTAATGAAGACTCGTCGCGCAAGGACAAGAAGTCCATATGGAACTGGAAGGCATCGTTGAAGGCGCTTTCTGGGGCTAAGAACAGAAAGTTCAATTGTTGTTTCTCTCTGCATGTCCATTCCATTGAAGGGCTTCCTTCGAGTTTCAACGGTGTCAGTTTATGTGTGAACTGGAAGAGGCGGGATGGAGAGCTGGTCACGAGTCCTGTTAAAGTCTATGAAGGTGTTGCAGAGTTTGACCTGAACTTGTCACACATTTGTCTGGTTTACGGGAGCAGGAGTGGTCCCCGCCATTCAGCAAAGTATGAAGCAAAGTATTTCTTCGTATTTGCAACTGTGTTTGGTATGCCTGAGGTTGATTTGGGGAAGCACAGGGTTGACCTTACGAGGTTGCTTCCTCTCACATTGGAGGAATTGGATGGAGAGAAAAGCTCTGGAAAGTGGACTACAAGTTATAAGTTGTCAGGAGATGCTAAGGGTGCAGTGATGAATGTGAGTTTTGGGTATACAGTTGTTGGAGCGGGCCTGACTGGAAATGGTCAGTATGTTCCTGAGTCATTAAGTAGCAAAAGGAATAATCTGGCAACAGCAAAAACAATGCCCAAAAAGGCCCCAGCTGTAGGCAAGGTTGCCTTACGTCGACATGAAAGTCTTACCACCACTTCTAACTCACACTTTGCTGGCAAGTCTCGATCCCCGGGAAAGGTAAAAGATCTTCATGAAGTTATGGCTCACAAAAAGCTTGATGTAGAAGCAACTAGAAACATGGCAAATGAGAGATTTGAAGAAGACAAGCTAGATGCTCCAGCCAGAGAAAATGAGCTTGATAACCTGCAGTTTCCTTCTCTATCTGAATCTAGCAAAACAAATGCTGAAAGTGGAATCGAGAATAGCGAATTTTCTCTAATTGAAGAAGGGAAGGAGTTGCCAGATGAGAGCAAGACGACCAATTACCACACCCTGAAGGATGCTGGTGTCTCTACTGCAGAAACTGAATCTGATAGCAATCTTAAGGCAGTGGAGGAAGAGTGTACTGATCTTCATGCTGGCGGTACAGGAAAGAGTGGTCATACTAAAGATGAACCTTTGACCCATGATTCTGACTCTGATGACGATCTATGCTCAAAAGAGTCTGTTATGAAAGAGCTAGAGTCTGTGTTAAATCGTGTTTCAAATTTGGAAATTGAAGCACTTTATTCTTCTGATGGAACAGAGGATCATGGGGAACTTGAAAGTGACTATCAAGCCGACAGGACCGAAAAGTCAATTAACACGGATGATGCTGAAGATATTGCAAATGAATTTTTAGATATGCTGGGAATTGAGCAAAGTCCATTTGGATTGAGTACTGAGAGTGAACCTGAGTCCCCAAGGGAGCAATTGTTAAGGCAGTTCGAGAATGATGCCTTGGCTGGTGGATTTTCTTTGTTTGATTATAATTCAGATGATTGGGATCAGCTAGAGAGCAGCTATGATGGGTTTATGGAGCCAGGAGAATCTCCAGGTGGGTTTGATCTGTCATCATTTATTGATGATGCAGAAGAAGAAAATGAGATAGGAACTCACCCTACGAATTGCAAGATTAGGCCCAAGATCTTAGAGGACGTTGAGACAGAGGCTTTAATGCATGAATGGGGCTTGAATGACAAGACATTTGAGTGTTCTCCACCTAAGAGTTATGGTGGCGGCGTTGGAGGTCAAACTGGTACATCTCCAGAAGTTCCACTTGAATTACCTTCTCTTGCTGAAGGTTTAGGCCCATTTCTCCAAACAAAGAATTGTGGATTTGTACGATCTATGAGTCCTTCACTCTTCGAAAGTGCCAAAACTGGTGGAAGCTTGATCATGCAGGTTTCTAGCCCTGTTGTGGTACCTGCAGAGATGGGCTCTGACGTTGTGGACATACTCCAGCAACTTGCTTCGGTCGGAATTGAAAAGCTCTCTATGCAGGCAAATAAGCTAATGCCTTTGGAGGATATCACTGGGAAAACAATGCAGCAAGTTGCTTGGGAAGCTGCAGGTGCTATAGAGGGACCTGAAAGGTCTGTTTGTCTCTCTCGGTTTGTCCATGGTTCTTTGTAAGTGAAACAAACAATCTTTAGTGGTTCAGTGACCTGTTTCTCTTTGTTTTATTTTTCTTTCTTGCACAGGTGGAATACGTCCCAGCAGAAGAAGCATGATACAGGACATGAGTGGTCATCAGATGGGGCTGAAAATGTTCTGGGGAAAAAATCTGTTCCACGTAGAACTGCTACTACTAAGTCCAAATCTAGACCAAAAGAAAATGACGTTGGCTTAGAGTATGTATCTCTAGAAGACCTCGCACCTTTAGCTATGGATAAGATTGAAGCACTCTCAATGGAAGGTTTGAGAATACAGTCTGGCTTGTCAGCCGAGGAGGCACCCTCAAACATCTCTGCACACTCCATAGGAGAGATCTCAACTCTCCAGGGCAAGGCTGGTGTTCATACTTCTGGGTCCCTTGGTCTGGAGGGAACTGGTGGATTGCAATTGATGGAGGTAAAAGAAAACGATGATGGTGATATCGACGGCTTAATGGGTCTTTCTTTAACTCTTGATGAATGGATGCGCTTGGACTCCGGCGACATTGGCGATGAAGAAGATCAAATAAGCGAACGAACTTCTAAGATACTCGCGGCCCACCATGCCAGCTCACTGGACACACTGCGTGGTAGGTCCAAGGGAGACAGCAGAAAGCGTGGCAAAAAGTGTGGTTTGCTTGGTAATAACTTTACTGTAGCGTTAATGGTTCAACTTCGTGATCCTCTAAGGAACTATGAGCCTGTAGGAACCCCGATGCTTGCTCTTATTCAGGTAGAGCGGGTGTTCATCCCTCCAAAGCCGAAAATCTACTGCAAGGTGGCAGAGCTAAGGAATAATAGCAATGGGGAGGAGGACGAGTCTGATGATGAGTTACTAACATCTAACGCTGCAAACAGGGATAAATCAGGTGGTGAAGTGGAAGGAATACCCAAGTTCCAAATCTCCGAAGTACATGTGGCCGGTCTGAAGACCGAGCCTGAGCCCGACAAGAAGAAGCCCTGGGGTACGCCGTCGCAGCAACAGGCTGGTTCTCGCTGGCTGCTTGCTAATGGAATGGGCAAGGGCAGTAAGAACTCATTTATGAAGTCGAAAGGTGGCACTTCAGGTGATAGTTTGTGGAGCGTGTCGTCCAAGGGAGACAGATTGAAACAGGTGGGAGCAGCAAACCAGCACAAGAGAAACCCTAATCTAATCTTGCCTAATAAGAAACAGACGAGCTGGTTCAAGTAAGTAGCAGTGGATCTGCTTTGTGTTCTGCAGCCGTAGAAGGGTGGCGTATGCACAGAGAGAAGTTGCAGTCTTTTTTTTACCAGGTAGTGATTTTTTTGCTTTACAGATCTCATGTATAAAAAAGTGCGTGATCAAATGATCATATCCTCTTTAATTCCTAGGCTACTTTTGATGTGAGAATGTGCACATATGGGTTTACTGGTGTCTTTTGGGTGGTCTTTCCCTGTAAATTCAGAGGTTTTGAAGCCTGTTATACAGAGTGTTGTCTTGACTTGTCTAAAACTTGCCGACTAAGACAGATTGTAACATTTCCGATTATTTTAGGTTTAGGTTCAACGTAATAAATGTATGTGTTGTGTTGACGATTATGTACGAGAATTCGAATCAAATTCGGAGAAAGTTGATGGTGTGTAGGGGTGTGCAGCGATTTGGTTCGTACCGTCTCATATCGTTAATTGTTGATGGAAAGGGATGAGGCATTAAAACAGCTCCGTCCAAATCTTTAGAAATTGTTGATTTTTAATCAATCGTGTATTTAGGGGGGGGAAATCCGGCGTCAATTTGTTCAGGTGGGCCCATAGTAGATTTTTTCCAACAATTCTAATGTGATTTTTATTTCCGTCAAACGAAAAAAGCACTTTGTGGAAATAAAATAAAAAAATAAACCGAAAAGCCAATTTGGGTGGTGAATGAAGGGATAATGATGATAATGTCTAACCGAAAAGCCATATGCTAATCTTAATCAACACGCCATCGCTAATCAACTATTCCTGATAATGATCCACCATTAATATCATCTTAGGTGGGGCTAATTAGCACCGGAATTAACGGGGTTCTGTAGAGCTTCTTTCTTTGAATTTCCATTCTTTTTTTATTTTCTTGAAAAGTCAAAATTCAATTTTCTTGAATTAATATCACTTTTAGTCTTTTTCCGCATCCCATATTCCCATTTGCGAAAAGTCGGGCAGGTGAAAAGATGAAGTGAAGTATAGGATAACAGGAATAATATTCACAAAATAAATTACAATCACAATAATTATAGCAATATCTTCCTTGTCGTCATCGTCGTCATCATCATTAGTGGCTCCGTTTCAACCTGTGCAACTTCGGCTGCCGCCGGCCGCCGCCGCCGGAAACGGCATCAATCCGCGTCTTGACCCGCTCAAACTCGGCGAAGGGACAAGGGATCACGATCCCGCCTTCCTGGTCGAACCCGTACTCTTCCTCCGCGTCCCTCAGCAGATTGCCGAACAGGGGGTGGTTCACGTAAATCACCGGCACCAACACTCTGTGAAAGTCGCCGGCGTCGTTTCCCCCCACGTAGACCGCCAGATGCCCCTTCGGCACCGCCGCTGCTTTCCCAAACAGCGGCTCCTCCACCCGCAGGTACCCGGATTTCGCCCAACAGAGCGATCTGGCTCCGCTGGTCATCAATCGGCGACCCCAGCGGACGAGCTTCGTAATCGGCGTCGCCGACGAACTGCCCTCTTCCGAGGTCAGCCGCCGGTAGAGGGATCGATTTCTCCTCCGCCTACTGCCGAAGATCCAATTCGCAACCCGGAAAATCCGCTTCCCCAACTTGAATCCCCTCATCTTTCTCATTGATTGGGAGGAAGCGGACAGGGCCGGATTCCAAATTGATTTTTGCGGTGAGAGAGCTGGAGACGCGCACAGAGAGAAAACGGGAATCGGTTCAGGAGAAGGGCCAAGGGTCGGCGATGGACATGGCGAAGCGGAATAAGGTGAGGCAAATTTCAGAGAGAGATGTGGGTATGTTCGACATCGCTCGTCTCTCTAAGCAAATGGGAATTCATATTATTACCAACAGCTCTTCTTGTGATTGTTAGCTGCGGAGATGGTGGTGCCGGCCGCCGCCGTGATTGTGGGAAGAATTTTTTTTTTTTTAGCGGTGGCAGGAAGGAAGAAGGAAGGGAAGTGTGTGAGAGAGAGAGATTTGGGGAGGAAATAGGGCGTTACTTTATATATACTAGAATTTTCATGGGCCGCGAACTTCTTTGCGGCTGGGCTTTTTGCTCGGGCTTGGTAAGTGTTTACAGGCTCGTATAGAGAAAGAGTCCCATCCCTAATATTTCATCTCGAGCTTTGTTTTGTTCAGGTTTAGTTCATTTATAATCGAGCCGAATTCGAGCTCGGTTAATTTATGAACGTCGAGTCGAACACGAATTAGCTCATTTTATTAAATTCTGACTTATCATTAAGATGAAAATTTCAGCTCGAGGTTAACTCTGAGATAATTTATGAATTAAATATTCTAATATATTTGTATGTCTTGTATGTTACATGTGATTAACTGATTTTATTCATGTCATATATGAGACATATTTGCTCACATACTGAAATTATTAAACCAGACCATACAATTTTATAAATATATGCATCATTAACAGACCATTTGTAAGATATAGATTGATTTTTATCATAAGTCGTAATCATGTTGGCTCGCTATTACAATGTTGGCTCGCTATTACGGGCTAGAAATTTCAGGTAGAGCAACGGTGAGAAAGAGGGATGAGCTTAGTTCGCGAGGTTTAGGGAATTTAAAATGAATATATTTTTTATTTTTAATGGTAGTGATAATGAGGTGGAAATTTTGAAATTAATTTTTTTTATTAAATTTAAATTGCCACGTCATCCACTAAACGGTCAACTGTAAGAGTTGACTGGCACATCAGCCAAAATTAGCGGAGTTGGACGGAGAGTGACCAAACATGACATGTTTTACTAAAGTTAGTGACCACGAATGAAATTTAATATTTTTAGTGACCAAATATGAACGTTTTTAGTAATTTCCATGACCAATCTTGCAATTAACCCTTAAAAAATATATGCAAATAAGCTCCATGGCAGGGAGTTGTTTGAGCAAAAGTGCGTAGTGGCCATTGAAATCCGAGCAAGGGCGGCTCTGGCAGCAGTGGTGGCGGAGGGAATAGGGTTTGTATCGGATGCCTCAGTCGACATGCAAGAAGGTTTTGGAATTGTGTGAATGGCAAGGTTGTATTATAGATAAGATTGTAGTGGTATTTGGACAGCTGTCAACCCCACAACCCTTTTCAGCTTCAGACCTTGCTTTTATTAAATTTTGGGCTAATACCACTAGAAAATCCGAACTATTAAAAATGTGTCATTTGTGTCCTAAAGTATCTAATATGACATTTGTGTCCCAACCTATTATAGTTTTGTGTCATTTATGTCCTAACCCGAACTATTAAGAATGTGCCATTTGTTAAATACTAACGGTCAACGCCGGTCAACTCTAACGGAAAAATAGTTTAGGATACAAATGTCATATTGGATACTTTAGGACACAAATGACACATTCTTAATAGTTCGGGTTTCCTAGTGGTATTATCCCTTAGATTTTCATTTCGAAAAGACTGTTTTTTAGGTTGCGAGTTGGATGGATCACGAATTGTTGACTATTAATCAATTTAGGTTGTGATCGGGTTGCGAATCAGGTTAATCGGACGGATTAGTCGGATCGGATTTTGTTTTGACACATCTAATTAGTAATTACAGTACTTGTTTGGAAGAGTGTGAACACTTTTTTTTTTTTTTGGGAAGTGAAGGTTGTGCCATTTTTTTTTGTTTATAACCCTATCAAAGCCTCCAACGATAAAGAGTTATATACGTTAGGGTGGTTTATTTGAGTTATTTGTATGAGCTATAGCACAACTATTCACTGCAGATACGGATTCTAAGTCTTGTATGGGATGGCGTGTTTATGTCTCGATACTCTGTGAAACTAATATGGAATACATTTTGACCTTATGAAGTTGATGTGCAATGGTATAATATGGAATACATTTCTCGTGTGCAACTCAACTTGAGAGTTCAGAGTGAAGTGTTTAACATTGTGTAGTGTAGATCTTGATGAAACTAGGACTATATCCCTATTGGTTGTGCTGATTTTGATGGTTTGTAAGAACATTAAAAAAAAAGGCATCCGTGTTTGAGGTTGACTTTGAGCTTAATAAATTTTGATCTAACTATTATAAGATTTACTATGATAAGAGATCAAAGATATTGATATGTAACTTCAAAAAAAAAAAAAAGGTATTGATATGTAAAATCTTCTTGAAGTTACATATCAGTACTTGCTGATTCGATTTGATGGATAAGGAATTTGGGGGGTGGTATTGGCTTCGTGGGATATCCCGCAGACTCTTTCATGGTCTGCGCTTGCGGCTCTTATCCAGGTTCGGCCGATCCTCTTACAATGGAACTTTTACTCTAAGAGATGTAATGCTTTGGTGCTTAAATCATGATTATCTTACTGTTTGCTTCTGTGGCGACTCCCAATTGGTGATTCAGCGAGTTTCGGAGAATGATGTGATGCATGATCGAGGCGGGGCGATCCTTGAAGAAGTTTGGCTACTCAAGGCTTCCTTTACATTTGTTTGATTTGTCTTTGCTCCTCGTATTACTAACTACTAACAAGACTACTCATTTCGTAGCCCAAAAGGCCCTTACATCGATAGATCGACACTTGGTCAATTACTTTTTTACTTTTAAACAAGATGTAATCACAGTCCATAATTATTCAAACCGAGAACTATAAGGAAAAAAAAGCCTGACCAAGAACTATTAAATTAAGAAAAAAGCCTTGATACAATTTGTCCTTTATTAACACTTGGAACTTAGAAGAGTGTTCAATATAATGCGCAATTACGCGGTAACGGTGATGATTAGCAACGGAATTAATGAAAAAGGAAGAACAGGCGGCTTCTGAACAAATTTCCGGTCTCTATATATAGTCGGCGACGCCATGGCTTGGCTTCCTGGTTAGCGAAGCAAAATCCAATTTTATAATCAGAAAGCCCATTTCACCTCCTGCTTTCTCCTCCCTGTTTCTCCCTGTTTCAATCAGCAAAAGGAACAACAATAAGCAAGCAGCAGCAGAGCAATACAGACAGAATGTCCTCTAGCGACGGAGAGATTATTGAAGAAGTTCTTAACAATGATGAGGATCCGGGTGCCAACGATTTGAGGCAGCGGTTGAGGGATCGAACCAAGGTTATTAACATATTCCGTGTTCTCTCTTCTTCTCTCTGGGATTATCTAGAGTTCGTTTCATGATCTGGGTCGCGATTGAATTTAAAATTTCCGCTTTGTTTGCGTGTTTTGGGGGCGGTTTTCACTTTTCAGACCGTCGTGCATACCAAAGAGATTCTGTCGAAGCAGGCTACCCGAACCAAGGTGAAGATCGCTAAACAGGCGGTGAAGATCGCTAAACAAGCAGAGGAGCACGAAAGGTTCATCAATAAGGTCCGCCAAGTTTTCCCCTTTCACTGTTTCATTCGATTCGTTACAGATTGGGGGAATTCGGTAGAAATCGGCATTGATATCTGCTTTCTGGATTTGTAAATATTCATCCTCAGGTGACCCATTTTCTTGGCGTCTTTGGGTTTGGAGGGTTTTGCTATCTCTTGGGTGCAAGTGAGTTATCACCTTTTTGGGCAGCCATGGAAACGAACTTACTTCATAACGAAGCTTTCTATTTAAGGGTTTTCATTGTTTATTGTTTTGCTTCCTTTGGTAATGTGTTCAGGGCCGCAGGATATTCCGTACGTCTATTGTTTCTTCTATTTCACATTCGTCCCTCTTCGGTGGATGTACTACCGCTACAAGAAATGGCACTATTATCTCCTGGTAAGTTGACCCTTCAACTCAGAAGTTTGTTCTAAGTTCTAGGACAGGTGAGTTTAATTTTTTTTCCATCTTGGTTACTGTTTCATATTAGTCTGTGGTTTGTTTCAAAAGATTCAGACATGATCTCTTAAGTCTCTTGCCAGCCACTGAATATGTTAGTGAAGCTTACATTGTGCTTCACCCTTTATTTGACTCTCAGGATTTCTGCTACTATGCAAACACAATCTTCTTGGTCAATCTCCTTCTGTACCCGAAGAATGAAAAGTTTTTCATGGTTTGCTTTTCATTTGCGGAAGTAAGTATCTAATCTGAGGCCTTTGCACCATTTTGAGTTCTGGGAAGAGGTCTTCTGATCTTTGAACTAACCCATTGCTGCTGGTGCAGGGACCGTTGGCATGGGCGTTGATTGTTTGGCGTTGTAGTTTGGTTTTCAACTCTGTGGACAAACTTGTTAGTGTCCTTATACATCTTTTACCAGGTGAGTTTGTTCTCTTCTTTTTGTAAACCGATTGCAGAGAATGTGATTATTTTTCTTTCGGTATTGATTTCCCCTGCCTCTAGTTTGGTTTGCCTGGCCTTGGCACAGATGCAGTCCCCCCAAAATGGATAGTTAGTTAACTTCATTGTTCTTTTAATCCCCGGTTTTATCTTTTGGTGATATCTAATTGGAATCGTTGCTGCCCAATGAAAACACCAATGTTATGGGTCTTCATATCATCATTATCATAATGCATAAGTGGTTTGGGTATGCATATCATGAAACTGACTATGCAGACGAATAGTACTGGGATGAAAATAGGGAACAGTGAAGGATTACTTGAATTTTGGATCTTACAATTTGTCCGATGATATACTCAGGATTAGTCTGTTTTCTCATGTGGTGATCTAGGTTAATAATGGCTTAATGTTCAGCATAGACAACATCTCCAATTGCTTCTTCAAGAAAGTGAACATTACTTCCCTACATTTCATGTGTGAAGAGTTCTGATGTCAAATACCCTTCATCTCCAAACTAAAGCCTCAAAATTGGAAAGTTTTGGTACCTGGTAGCACCCAGCTTATTGTAGTAATCTGATCTCATGATGCATTATTTTTCAGGGTTAGTGTTCTTTACCATTCGGTGGTGGAATCCAGCAACTTTTGAGGCCATGCATCCTGAAGGAACTGCACGTAGAGTGTTGTGGCCATACGTGGTGCAAGACAAAACATTCCTTCTCAATTGGTTGTTTTGGGTGCCTCTAGCTGCCTACACACTGTGGCAGACACTCTATTTCCTCATTGTCAACGTCCTTCGCCGTCAGCGATTATTGAGAGACCCAGAAGTCATGACTTCCTACAGGTATCTCTGGATGCTTTTCCCGCCCACTTATGTTGAGCAGTAATTATTTGTCTTATAATAATCCTTTAAGGTGATCTTTACCTTTTAAGGCATCTTCTTAGTGCTCATAATTTGTTTTTCCTAAAGGGAGCTGTCAAAGAAGGCACAAAAAGCAAACAATGTATGGTGGCGCCTTAGTGGCGTGCTCGGGGATCAGAACCGGATGCTCATGTACATTTTGTTGCAAGGGTTATTCACGGTGGCGACCATGGCCCTCACAGTGCCCATCTTTCTCTCCTATAGACTGCATGTGGTATTCCAATTTCTGAAAGTCTCTGCGGCCGTGTGGAATGGGGGGAGCTTCCTCCTGGAAGTAATGCCTAGGCAGGTGATTCTCAAGGAGAAGAAGAAGAAATCAGAGATCAAGCCAGTACCAACTGGGGAACACGATGATGCTGCTTCAAGTCACCTGCCGGAACCAGCGATGAAGATGAGCAGTTCTGCCGAGGCACTGCAGTCCCAGCAAGAATAAACTCGGATATACGGTTTTGCTGATGTATGTCACTTCGTACACCCTGCCTTAGGGCGGTAGATACACTCACTCTCTCGACCTCTTCTTCTTTCCCGTTCAATAACTCTTTGGTTTTTTATCACTTGTCGCAGGTAGCATTTCTCAGTTCAGGTCAGGTGCCTTCTCAGGTTGCAGCTTGCTGTATATAGTAAAAGAAACTCACTCCACTTGGTCGTTGTCTGGCTCAATTTCTTCTTTCCGGTTTGTGGCTCTTCCTCGCGCATTTGTGACTTTCTCGTGTTGCTTTTCGAATGTCTGTTGTACCATGCTTGAATGAAAGCGGCATACAAACTGGACTAGCATACAATCTTGTCTGCCAAGGATGGAGCTTTCCTTTCCCCCCCTTATGTTATAGGCACAAGGTTTATAGGGAAAGTAGGAAGTATCTTTATTTCTTCAATGAGATAATAACATAGCATATCATGGTGGTAACTTGTGTTCAATTTACTTCAGTTTCTACCGGTGTGGAGCAGTGTTTTACATTTGCATTTTAAGCTTCACTAAATACAACATCGTGCATAATTGGTATTTTTAACAATCGAATCGAAAGGAGGCTCCTGCGGGGAATGAAAAATGGAAGCATGTGTTAGAAACAAAGTTTCTAACGGGTCTCCAGATCGGATCTAGAGATTGAGAATTTAGGGTTTATAGAACAGAATTGGGGATTTAGGGATTTGAGAAGAGAATTTGGGGAAGAACAGAGATAGAATGGCCGAAGCCTTTAGAGAGAAAGATAGAAGAGATTGAGAGAAGATTAGGGATTTGGGGAGATGACTTTTCTTATTAATTTCTGCTTAATCTGACGAATGACCCAAAGTACATATATATAGGGAAATACTAGAAAACCCTAAGAATAAACCTAATTCTATTAAATGACTACTAACCTTATTGATAATTACCCTAATAATAATTATATTAATAAATGGAGAAACCCTACAGAAATCGGTTTCTAACATCTCCTCCCCCTTCAGACCAACCTTGTCCTCAAGGTTGACCGACTTGACCCATTCTTTCCTTTCTTCTCGCGCAATCCGCGGTCGACTCCTCCATTTCTTACGCTTCCTTTTCTTCCAATTGTGCTCCAGTACTCGAATGAAGCCCACTCCAGCGATTCCAACTCCAAAAGCTTCTTCTCTACCCTCGTGGTTCATGTCACGTTTTCCATAGCCGAACCATCCTTTCTCTTTCTTTTCAAAATCCACATAATAAGAATAAGAGAATTGATCTTCCTTAATCTCCTCCTTACTAACTAGTATGAAATCTTGAAGAAAAGGCTCCACAAATTCCTCCATGGACTTGGTGTTGAAAATAAATTCTTTTGCGATCCATTCTTCTTCAAGTTGGGTTGAGTGAAGCTTTCTTGAGAGCCCAGCCCTTAACCTATCGAGGCCATCACTTTCCTTCTTCATGTTCTTTTCCTGCAAATTAAAGCCTACAAGATAGCCCATGGGAAGCCCAAATATCCCTTGGAAACTCGGCCCACCTTTTCTCAAGAGGCAGGGAACGAAGTGGGCAACTCCCTTATATGCTGCTAGCCCCTTTTTTATCTCACTTGGCTGACCCAATAGAAATTTGCCCAAAGGGAGCCCAACAGACTTTTCATTACTCCCAAGCCTGTGATCTTCCTCAATAATTTGGCTAGCAGGTCTCAGCCCACATCTGAGCTCTCGCTCGAGCCCATCTCGAAGCTCCTCTGCAGCTTGTACCCGGTCAAGTTGCGGCCCATTCGGCCAAACACACTGGCCCAACTCGAGCCTGGCGATCCGAGCGATGCAGCCCAGGAACTTGACCGCGGCCCGCCCGACTCGTTGCTGCTGCTGCTCAACCTGAGCCGAGGTCCTAGGGTTCCAGAGATAGACGACGACGCCGCCGCTCTGCTTCTTCTCCAGCGGCAAGCTCACCGCCGCCCTTACCACCCTGATCGCCCCCGTCGTTGGCAGCTCCTGCCGCGACGTTTCCTTCTTCTCGTTCTCCGGCGATCCAAATCGGCAGCCATGCGCCGCCACTTCTCTCGGCAGGGAACAACCCACCAAGCGGCGATGAACCCAACTCGATTCCCTCCTCCTCTCCTCGGCATTCTCTGTCGTTTCTTCCTCCGTCAACTGCTCCTCCGACCAACGCACCCGGCGGCGAGGCTGCCTCTCCGCGCCGTTCGATGCGACAGCTGTCGCCACCAGTTGAGCTCTCAGGGATCGTGCCGCCTCTTCTCCCTTTGCGACCGACGGGCAGATTGCCTCGCCGGATTCTCGAGCAGCGCGCGGAGAGGTGATGCCGCCGGCGCATCTCGCCCTCTCTGTTACCTCCTTCGCCCGTGCTTTCCATCGGCGGTCGATTCCGACGCCGAGATCTGGCTTCCACTTCTTCTTCCTCTTCCTCGGCGAGTAGAGAGGCCCGCCGTCGTCATCCTCGTCCTCGTTCTTCTTCTTCTTCTTCCTACATTTCCTGCCCTCGATTGGAATTGTCAATGGGATTGGGGTTATTCCGGATTTTACCTCTTCCAAATCCAGATTCGGTGCAGGCTTCTCAAGGCTCGATTCTTCCATCGCGACAGGCTGCCTTGTCCTCGGCCTCCCCCTTTCTCCAGTCACGCCCTGACACGACTCCTTCTTCTCCAGGTTTGCCGGCAGCTCTTCTTCCTTCTTCTTCTCCTGGAGCGCCGCCGGCTCTTCCTTCCTCTTCACTTCTTCCTCCGACGACTTCTCCTTGTCTATTGCCACAGTGTCGTCATCGTCGAGGCACGTGGAAGGAGTTACTTCGGTCAAGGATTTGATCGAGACCACCGCCTCTGACTCCTCCCCCTTTTGCTCGACGTCTTGTGAGTCCTGTAGCTGCTGCTCGCTCGTTTCCCCGGATAGGACCCCTTCGGTCTCCGTGATCGGCTTCAGGTCCTAGGTCGGCGCTGCCTGCAGCGTCGGCGCCTCGGCCAGCAGCGGGGGTTGCTCGTGTTTGTTGGCGTGAACCATCGTCTCTGCCTTCGCGGTTGCCGACTCCTCGGGCAGCCAACGACGTCCGATGCGGCGGGCCTGGTCACGCAACTCTGTCCATGACAGGGTTTCTAGGGTCACCGTCTCTGCTTGCACGGTCGGCGACTCGTCGAAGCGCCAACGGCGTCCGATGCGGCGAGCCCGGTCATGTAGCTCTGCCCATGACAGGTTCGAGAGCTTTGAAGAGCTCATCGTCGAACCAGTTGTAGAACTTGTCCCCGGTTGAGAGTTGTGGTGAACTCAATTCTCGAACCGGGCTCTGATACCAAATGTTAGAAACAAAGTTTCTAACGGGTCTCCAGATCGGATCTAGAGATTGAGAATTTAGGGTTTATAGAACAGAATTGGGGATTTAGGGATTTGAGAAGAGAATTTGGGGAAGAACAGAGATAGAATGGCCGAAGCCTTTAGAGAGAAAGATAGAAGAGATTGAGAGAAGATTAGGGATTTGGGGAGATGACTTTTCTTATTAATTTCTGCTTAATCTGACGAATGACCCAAAGTACATATATATAGGGAAATACTAGAAAACCCTAAGAATAAACCTAATTCTATTAAATGACTACTAACCTTATTGATAATTACCCTAATAATAATTATATTAATAAATGGAGAAACCCTACAGAAATCGGTTTCTAACAGCATGTCAACCGAGATGCAAACTCTACGGCTTATATTATGGTTCGTGCAGAAACTCATGGGAATGTGCGAGTAGTTTTGACTAGATAGGCCACTGGTTTTTCTACTTGATCGGTCTAAACTGAACGATGTAACATAAAACTACTGATCATGAAAGTTTCCAGATCAAAATAAAAGAAAACCTTGCAAATACAATTATAGTAACGACTGCGCAACTTCAGCTCAAATCTCATACCAATGGCGCTGCCAACCAAAACAATGGCCAGGGAAAAAAGAAACACTAAACTGACATTACATACAAATAATAATATGTCGAAACAAGACAACTTAAAAATGGCCTATAAAATGCGGCTGCAACCTCAAAAATACAACACCCCAAATCAAACCCAAAAGCGCACTAACCACAACCAAAGCGAAAATCTGATCATATAATGAACAAATAAACCAAACTAATCAAGAACAAGAAAATTTGATTACAAAACCCTCATTGCTGCCTGGAATGAGGAAACTGATGATGAGGCCAACCAAAACGCCTCACCGCGTATAACCACTCTCAACTCACCGCGATGATGATGGTGATTAATCCGCCTTTTTCTTCATAAATAGCCCCGTCTCCTTGTTTACTTAACAAGGGGGGAAGGCCAAAAAGAATGAAATTATTTGGACGACTCTTGCCTGAGATGATCGTCCAAATAATAAATAATGATACCCACTACTATGCACATTCGTTCATTTCGGATGCTGCTGTTACTCCATCCAAAGCGAAACAAGAGAAACTAGTATCTATATTCACATGTCTTACCGGCAACCGATGGAGATATGGATGCTGAAAGGTGTGCTGATATCGTGGTCTAAACCCACCATCACGATCAGTTCGCTGCAGGTCATCCCATGATGGCCTGCAGCTGATGAGGCTTTTGGAGTCTTTGTTTTTCCCATATGCTACTGGGAGCTGTGCAGTAGGAATCCAAACCCAGAGTTCTCACGAATTATAGGTGGAGCCTCGATGTGAGCAATGTCTGCTTGTTGCATTGGCTTGGAAATGTCATCCACGGAGAATGGGATGCTGGGAAGGGCGAAGGTTGTTATTAATATCATCAAGCGGTATCTATTTGTGAGATTACTTTTATTCATTATAATTTCTACCTGGAGTCATCATCTAACAAGAATGAACTGCTGACAGCATTGTTCGAGTCCTCGGTCATCATCACTCTCATGCTGGCTATGACCTGTGTACATTTATGGTGGGTAGTTCAGCGCTTATAAAAGTGGAATATGTCAGAATTGACAAACAGTAAAAACAAACTTACTTCTGAAGATACGCTATGGGTGCCATACTTGTCATCCCAATACATGGTACTGATTCTGTATAGTTGTTGTATACTCAGAACCTAATTACATGAAAGAAGAACTAAGGTGAGTCTCACAAGAAACAAAGAGGGCTAGTTAATAAGAAATACACAAGCTGGAAATAATAGAAGGAGAAGGACAAGAGTACTGACTGGGCAGAGTTCTTTTGTTATTTCGTTCAATGTCTTTTTCGGCTTTTGATGTATGACCTGAGGTTGTGATATTGAAACACGAGATCAGACACCATCAAACCAAGTTGGAAGTAACAAAACAGAAAGTTGGATATCCATCAGTTGATGCAGTATTAATATAAGCCACGAGGCTTACCAGGAACCCAACAGCTTGTCTTATATGCTTTAGTTCATCCCATGCAGAACCAGCATACTGTAAACTTAATAAGAACAAGAGGTAATGACCCAGATCAACAAAGTCTGGCTGAAAGGCTCTTTTTATGTTATATCTTGGAAACTAAGCACTTACTTCTTCAGTTGCCTCATCGCACCAATGTTCTAATTCGGCCAAACCTGCTTTTACATACTCCCCATTGCTGAATGAGCAACACTCACGCCGCAAAAGAAGGCTGATGATGTCGAGAAACGAGTCAAAATAATT